GCTGTCAGAGGTGGTGGTGGTTTGGTGGTGTTTGACAGGATGCGCACAATGTGTCTGAAGAGCGAGGAGGGATATGGTGGGGAGGGGAGACAAGGGTGAACGACAGATTTGAGGACCGGGAGGGAGACGTCGATTTCCGGGAGATTATCACTTGTTTACATGCATCCGGAAGTCTCTATGCATTTGCGGGAGACTCCCGGAGCTTCCAGTAGACTTGGGATGTCTGGAATGACCTCCTGCCCTACTCATAATTCTCTCTTCATATAGCCGTATGCCTGTACATATGCATAAAGCACTCTGATATAGCCGGGCTTGGATCGTATCGCTTTCTCACTACAATCAATCCGCTCCAGAGTTCTTTTCAATCGAGTCGAGACCACCTCATTCAGGCGATCTCAGAGCGACTGTTTTGGCGCGGATCCGAGCACGATTGGTGGATTCACATATGCCAAACAAACCACGCTAACTGGGCAAACGAGACAGGTTCCAGGACAAAAGTGTTGGTGTGAAAGCACCCTAACACGAGTCTACTTTGGACAGTTGCCATGTGTATATGTTTTAGGAGGGGCAGTGTTAACGAAGTAGATAGGTGAAAGGACCTGTCCAGCCACTGACCAGACAAGTCTATCAACAAGAGTTTCTTTGGCTTTGGATCCACAGAGATGAAGGGACAGTTGTTGAGACCCACAGTCATTCCTGTACCAAGGAAGTGCAAAAAGGCAATCGGTTAAATGTCTCCAACACTTCCTATAGTTTTTTAATGAAATGAGATTTGAAAGGCCCAAAGACTTTAACTTCTGTAGTTATATACGTTCTTGATAATTTGGAACTAGATTTTTTAACACAACATGTGCTTCATAACACTTCAAAACCTTTACGAATCTTTTGTTTGGAATCGGTGGTTTCAGAGCTCTTTTCAAATTGGCAGGGTCACTTGAATTCAGTAAACGAGGCTCTCCACTAGGGGGCGATCTGAGTAACACCATAAAATCTACATCAGTTATGCGGGTTCTCTCAGAGCGCCCCCCAGTGGTGAATCACTGCACCGGTTTCATCATTTTCACCTGATCTCAAGGCAATTTTATGACTTTTTAGATGTTTAAATGACACATTTATGTAATGAAAATGGTTATTAATAGTTGATAGACTCTTTTTGGCCTGTTTAGCAGAGTCCACCATAGAACAACCAATATATACAGCTGAAGTCAGAATTATTCACCCCCCTGTTTATTGTTTCCTCAATTTCTGTTTACCGGAGAGCAGATTTCTTCAACACATTTCTAATCATAATAGTGTTAATAACTCATCTCTAATAACTGATTTATTTTCTCTTTGCTATGATGACAGTAAATAATATTAGACTAAAAATTCTTTAAGACACTCCTATACAGCTTAAAGTGACATTTAAAGGCTTCACTAGAGTAACTAGGCAGGTTAGGGTAATTAGGCAAGTTATTGTATAATGATGGTTTGTTCTGTAGACTGTAAAAAAACAAAATTAGCTTAAAGGGGCTAATAATGTTGACCTTAAAATGGTGTTTAAAAAATTAAAAACTGCTTTTATTCTAGCCGAAATAAAACAAATAAGACTTTCTCCAGGAGAAAAAATATTATCAGACCTACTGTGAAAAATTCCTGAATCTGTTCAACATCATTTGGGAAATATTAAAAAAATAAATTCAATGGGGGACGAATAATTCTGACTTCAACTGTAAGCCTAAAACATTTAGTTGCTTTAATTACTATGTACTGTTTAGTAAGCATTTAGGACAATGCACTTATTATGAGCATGTTTATTTTCAGTAATCTGCATGTAATTATATCTGTAATCTAAAGCAATACATAATGCAAACATAGTAAAAAGAAAATATCAAATAGATAATAAATGATTAACTTGTTATGAATTAAATGACAATAATATAAATTTCTAATGATGATTTGATTATGAAGAAACACACGCAGGGAGCCACAATGATCTTTAAATCTTGGGTTTAAATGTTGGGTTCTTCAATCCTTTTGGTGTTGAGAACAAACACTGACAATCATCAATGTTGTATGGTTTGTGTTGTGCTGTAGGTTGTACCTGGCAGCCATGCAGTTCAACGAGTGCAGAAGTGCAGTGGAGAAGACCACCGGCAGAGCCAAACATACACACCCGCCGCCCTCTGCACACGACGAATCCGCAAACACAGAGGAAACATTCAGTAGGAGTTCACAAACACCCGTATATTAGTTTTAAACAATACTTACAAACTTGTGAAGAAATCCTACATATAAGTACTATATTTATAATGATTTACAGTAAATACTGTTGTGCTGTTGAACCAAACTATAGTAAAAATATTATAGCCAACTACAACACTTCATTTGCAGCACACTGTATTATTAACAATAGTGAACTGATAAACAGTGATACGGTAGCAAACTTTAGATTTTACTACAGTAAACCCTGCCGTATTGTAGTATAATAAACCCTATAGTTGTAGAAAACTACAGCACTCATTTGTTTGAGTCATTTGTTTATATTATTATAGTTGTTGTTACCGTAGCAACTCTAGTATCATCACAACAGCTCTCTATTACTGTAGTTGTCATGTTACCATAGCAACTGTAGAATCACCACAACAGATCTCAAATACTGTAGAGGTCATGTTACTATAGTAACTAGAATCTCCACAACAGATCTCAATTGTTGAGTTGTCATGTTTCCATAGCAACTGTAGAATTCAACCCCACTCGGGTTAACTCCCGAACACTCGCCCTCTCTCAGCGGCAAGGGCATCTGGACAACGCGTCCCTCCTTCTCCCGGGCTTCGGCACCACTGTAATAAAGTTCACGGCCCTTTGGCCGCCGGGAAGGAGGAGGCGGAGAACCGACGCAGGTTTAAAATGATTTATTAATAACTAAACCAAAACAAATGGACTGAAAAGCAAAAGTAAAATATGTCCAGGCCCGGTCCTCTCTCGGCTTCCTCTGCCATCGTTCTTCCTTTTATTGTCCAGAGCTCCTTCCGTGGAATCCGAGGCAGGTGCGCACCGCAGGTGTATCCACTTACGCGGTGGCCTCACTCCATTCCCACAGCTCTCGGCCACCCCACCTCGCCACAGTTACCATAGTAACTGTAGAATCTCCACAACAGGGCTTAATTGTTGAGTTGTCATGTTTCGAATAGCAACTGTTGAATCACCACAACAGATCCCAATTGCTGTAGTTGTCATGTTACCATAGTAACTGTAGAATCGCAGCAACAGATCTCAGTTGCTGTAGATGTTGTTACCATAGCAACTGCAAAATCACCACAACAGATCTACGTTGTTATAGTTGTCATGTTACCATAGCAACCATAGAATCACCACAACAGATCTCAATAACCAGGCTAAATAAGAGGTTTGTTTCCTCGTCTTTCGCAGGCTACATCGCCAACCTGATGGACCGACTTTTTGAAGAGGTGGTCCACGATCCTGTTCCCTATCTGGAGGTGCTTCAGCAGATTCCTGTGCCTCAGTCTGAAGTGAACGTCTGAGCCGGAGATGTCCGATGGCGTCAGCAGATACTGTGTCTGTGTGTCTTTACTGCTAAATCTGTTAACATTAGCTCCTGTTCATCTGAGCAACAGTTAGCAGTCACGTTTCTCCATTTCTTCCATAGATCAGACAGCATAGCTGTGCAATTTACTGTAATTAAAGCTACTTCCTGTTTACTCTACATGTAATGGTGTGACACACCTCAAACGCTCATAGTGAACTCTATTAGCCTTAATCTTGACATTAGAGCAGTCTGAGGAGAAAAAGGCGGGAAACAGGAATCTCTCTCCTGTGTAGTTGTGAGAAATAATAGCACTATATATATATATATTCTCTTTCAAGTTCGCCTGTAAGAAAAAGAGCTTTTATACGTTTATATGTAACTCAGTTTAACCCTCTTGCACTACGCTGGTTTAAAGTGACCCAGCTGACTTTATTTTCTATATTTTTATCTTTAGATTAAGTTAGTTTCATCACTCGGCATTCCAGGAAACCCTTAATATACTTGTTTTTGATCATGACAAGTCCTTATTTTAAGGTTTTCTTTTGTTACATTTGGAGTAAAAGTGACGTCTTTGTGACTCTAAGTGTTTCCTTTTCTGAATCTCCAAAATAAAAGTTTTTTAATCATTCATTGTCCCAGATGTGCTTTAAATATCTAGTATTTGACTTCCACTGATATGTTTTTTTAGTATTTTATAAACACAGTTTTTGCATTTATACATATGCTTTACACACATTCACTGTTAATTCAGACATGGCTGAGAGTTTATTTTGCTGTTGCTTTGAAGGAAACGCATGTAATATTCCTGGTGTTCATTAAACGTCTTGTTCGTTAAACGACTTCCACAAATAATTATGAATATTTTGATCTCCATTTAACTTTATTAATCAACACAATTTTGGATTTACATAATATGGGTCAAAAATGACAAGTTGAAGATATTTCCAAAGATCATTTTAAGTGCAGACTTTTACTTTTATTACTGTTCATCTGTGCCACATAGCACACAACTCCAGATGGCTGATTTGATATTTTATACATATTTTATGCAAACTGTATATTTTATGCATTATCAATCTATCTAACAGGTTTATAGGGAGGAATTAAGTATTAAAAACAATAAATTTAGTGGTTAGAATAGGAACACCAAAATAAATATATAAAAAGTTTATTTAGTTGTTTTTACCCTTCAAAAATGGCCTTTTAAACTAATTTTACTGTGATTGTTCATTTAATAAAATTAGGGGAAAGTTGACTGGAATAAAATGGATCGACATTAAATAGATCCCTCTGCAGCCACAAGAAATAGTTCCTTCTAAAGCTTTTTCTTAAGATAATCAAGATTCTCCACATTGTTTGAAAATAGTACTGAGTATTACAATTGATTATGATTTAACGACTACGATTCAATAAATGTTTTGTGTTGTAAAGCAGATGTTTAGTGCGTGAACTAGACTTTTATTCTGTAGCGGTGATGTGACGCCATAACGCTGCGCCGCTCGCGCTCCTGTGCGTAAACAGGCGGTAAGATTGCGCTTTAAATTTGATTCATGTATTATAACAGTTTAATCAAAGGGCTAGATTTGTGCACGGTATGCTAATTATCGTGTGTATAAATTAATTCATTATTTACGGCCATTTTTGTGGACAAACGCGAGACATTAATGTAAACAAATGGAAATCACAACAGGAAAAAACACCGTAGAGTAATGTATTTGGGAAAATGTCTCCCAAACACTCTGAATTAAACGGACTAGCGTGTTTATGCCTTTATAAAGGCTCGTTGTGTGTCTGAGAAGCTGAAAATATCCATCCCATAATAGTCTGTCTGTCTCCAGCGGTGAAGTGGAGCTCCATGCAGATGCGCAGGAGGCGGAGGCGGATCAGATGAAGGAGTTCACCCGCAGCTGACAGCGCATCGACGAGCTGCCGCGAGGGAACATTTCTATATGTGAGTGTCGTCTTTATTTGTGTAGCGTTTACTGTACATTCCTGATGAGTGCATTATATTAGGAATGGGACGGTTAATGGTGAAAAACGAGCCGTTCGTTTCTGTTGTGGCAGTTTGGTGTACGCGTGTGTACTAATAGGGTCGTTGTTTTATTCTTTTACACGATATGTTTGAGTTTGACTGTGAAGCGAGTGCTTTAAGTGGTTTTTGGTGGTGATATGTGTACATTATATCCCATAGATACATGTCGTCTCTCTCTTTAATGTCTGCTCTGCTCCTCTTCAAAGGCTCTCAGTCAGCGCAGGTGTATCCGTCCGCCGTATCCTGCCTAACCGTGTTTGTGCTGGCAAACTGCGCGTCTCCGTCTGAAATGACGAGCATGCGAGACTAAAATAAGAAAGATGCTCATCTATAGGTCTCAAAGTCAATTCATGGAGGGCTGCAGCTCTGGAGATTTGCTCCAACTCTAATCAAACACAGCTCATCCACATAATCAAGGTGTTGAAAAGAGTCTTGAACACCTTGATTAGTATGATCAGGTGTGTCTGATTAGTGTTGGAGCAAAACTGTGCAGAGCTGCGGCCCTCCAGGAATCCAGTATGAGACCTAGAGACCCTGACATGGAATAAAATCACTGTCATAAATATTTTGTGCGTAAATAAAATTCACGCATCTGCAATTATAAAATCGTACAGTTAAACAGAGCGTACTCGTAATTTTACGAGGATACGATGTCAAAACCTGCGAACAGATACGACATTTTCTTTGTATACGACTGATAAATTTACGATGGGTGTACTTTACAAACACAAAAAACAGTTTCAGCATGGACACGACGACCTGATTACGAGTACGAATCAAACAGTGACACTCCACTGTCAAAATTACGTCATCGCTGTCACAGGCATTAATAAACAAGCGAGAGCCATCGATCACAACGGCTCGCCTGCACAACAGAGCCCCCACACACCGTCTTGGGTATGAGTTTTGTTATTCCCTCTTTGAGAAATGTCCGTCATGAGCTGTAATAAAAGTTAAGACTTAAAAAATTTAAATAAATAAATTTAAAATTAAGAGTGGAATGAGGATAGTGAGCTAGCATGATGTAAGTAACATTACAGGCAGCGAGCGCAGTATCAGTATCGCTTGTTTATTAATGCCTGTAACAGCGGTGACGTAATTTTGTCGCTAATACAATTGCTGTTTGATTCGTACTCGTAATCAGGACTTCGTGTCCGTGGTGAAAATGTATTTCGTGTTTGTAAAGTACACCCATCGTAAATTTATCAGTCGTATACAAACCAAGAAAATGTCGTATCTGTGTCTGTTCTAATCGCAGATTTTGGAGCTGTACCCTCGTAAATTTATGAGTACGCTCCGTTTTCCTTTACGATTTTATAATTACATATTTTTATTGATGGACGAAATATTTATGACAGTGATTTTACTCCATACCCTGAAGCCGTTTGTTGGTGTGTTATCACGGTTATTGGCCTACCTTTGATTCTGTTCCTTCATGTTTTTTGTTCAAAAGTATTTTCATTGAACATGTTAGATATGAGCTGTACAAATAGCTTTTCACTTCTTCTCTTTTTACACAACAAACAAAACCCGTCGCACCCTTATACATTTTAACTCTGTAAAAATATATAAATAATATTAAGATAAAATACAAATAAATAATAATAATCCTATCTTCTTCTTTATGTGATCTAAAACAGGTTGCCAGGTGAGGAAAAACGCATCAGTACAGCCTCTTACAGTACTGTATTGTTTGTAAAGTCAGGTGGTGTAGGAGCTCCAGTCATTGCTTAAAGGTTGGAGGAAATTTTTCCTTCCATTTCAGCAATATTAACCTCCAAGCTAAAAGCGTAGCAAAGGCAATCACACGTATCCTGCTTTTATTAAAACATTAGGACTGTGGTTTGATACCCAATATTGAAATGATGGCCTCAGGTTGTACAGTATATAGGTAATTAATGCGTACGAGAAATATTTATATATTCTTCTAATTCTTTTAATTTTGAACTAACCCAAATTAAATGAGATATATAAGGCTTAATATTTCATCAGTCTAAATTAGGCTCTATATTCGGTTTAAATTTGGTTGCGTAACGGTTCAATCATGAATTAACATTGTTATTAGTGTACGCAGAAGGACTTTTAATTGTCAGTGACCCAGTTAAAGCACTTCCTGTAAATGCTGTTACAAGTCGGCTCGTTTAAGGTCTGTTTTCTTTCACATTCAGTGATCTTCACTGCCTGATTGATATGTGATATTAAGTGGGTCTCAGAATGAGCAAGAAATGTCTTTAAAATATGGAAAACGTTTGTACTGCAGTATTTTCAGTGGAGTTTCTGCGCTCGCCTGCTGATCCTGACGGCGCATGCTCATGTGTGAACGGCTCTTCATCTCGCTTTACATTTGAGCAGCTAAATGAAGTCTATTGAACTGATTGTATTTCAATTATATTACAGCATCCATGCTGTAAAAGGAACCGTTTAAAATTGAATAAAGCCATATAATCCATTCACCCTATGTTTATTGGTAGAGGAAAAACCCTAGTTGTGCGCATACACCATTTCTCCTCAGTTACTGCTGCAAAACTCTTATGCTTCAGCTTTTACTGGTTTAAAGGGGACCTGTTATGCTAACCTGACTTTCATAAGGTTTCATAAGTTGTCAGGTGTGTGAATACACCAGCTTTTATTGCTAAAAAACATGAGTTGTATTTGTTCTGATCAGACTTGATATAAACCGTCTGCAGAAACACTTTGATTGACATTCTCCCTGTGTATGATGTCATCAGAGGGGGAAAGCTCCGCCCACTAGTGCTCATCTCTAGACTACAGGATTTTGACAGTGGTGTTTTCAGAAAAGCTGGATCTTTCCTTAATGACAGAGTGTGTTTGTGTCCTCTGAATAATTTGTACTCCTAGTTTTGAGGGTTTTTCTGTGTCTGCTTTCTGTTAATTACAGGATTTATTAAACGTGTGCAGTCTGAAAGAACTGTTGAAGATGGAGTTCATCAAAGAGGAGAGCGAAGACGTGAAGATCATAGAGATGGTCACCATAAAATACGAAGATCCTGAGGAACAAGCAGGTTGGTCTTCATTCTCAAAGCTCAGCTCAACACTACACAAACACTAGCGATGCCTTCAGAAGAACAGCAGAACATGCGAGTTGGCCATGCGTTATTAGGACATGATATGCTGCATTCAGAAAGAAATTAAAACCATTTAATACAGGGGTGCTCAAACTCGGTCCTGGAGTGCCGGTGTCCTGCATAGTTTAGTTCCAACCTCGGTTAAACACTCTTGAACCAGCTAATCAAGCTCTTACTAAGTATACTAGAAACTTCCAGGCAGGTGTGTTGAAGCAAGTTGGAGATAAACTATGCAGGATTGAGTTTGGACATCCTTGATTTAAAATCCAAACTAGTTAATGTAAGGTAAGGTAAGGTAAGGTAAAACTTTATTGTCCCAGTTAGGGAAATGTGTCTTGGGCTCTTGCCCCCAGCTGCAGTCATCACAAACATGGACAAAACAAAGCAACATACAAAACACAAATAGATAGTTCAATAGAAGTTACAAGCCTCACTCCATAAACACATAAATAAGCAAACTGAATACTCTCAATCTAATCTAATCCACCACTATTATTTAATAGCTTAATGCTTGTAGGATAAAAATATTTTTTATATCTGTTGAATCTACAGTAAGGTACTCTGAATCTTTTCCTCGAGGGTAACAACTCATATTCTATGTGCAGAACGTGATACGTCACGAACAATTTGTTTAGCACACCTTAATGCCTCCTGTTCATACATATCCTGCAGTGACGTCAGCTCTGATACACCTATAATTTTCCAGGCAGTGTGAATTAAACAAACTACTTTAGATCTCAGCTGCACAGACAAGTTGCCGAACCAAGCTGTGATGCCGTACCTTATCAAACTCTCACACACAGCCTTATAGAACATGATCATACATTTCTGATCCACTCCATAAATTCTTATGCTTGAAGCGTTGCTGAAGCTTACTACAAAGATTATCAACATGTATATGCCATTTTAGTGAGTTATCGAAGAAGACACCAAGATATTTATATGAAGTGACCTGTGTGATGGTTTGAGTCTTGATGGTCACAGGCCTATGATCACTAATTCCTCTAGTGTCAAACACCATCTCTTTTGTCTTACTGACATTCAAATCTAGAAGATTGTCATATAAAGATTTGAGCTCTCAACACTGAGCTGCTAATCATTTGTAGGATTTGTAAATAATGGGCAGGATTTCAGATTGAAGACATGTCATTTTCCAGGCCTACAAATGTTTTGGAAAATCTGAAAAACCCACAAAGTTTTGGAAAAGTCATGGAAATTAATTTTAAAGGGATATCTGTATAGTTGAATATGGGTTAATCGTCGTCTTTTCTGTCCATGACCAAACTCCTGCTCTCACATTATTAGTGCTGCGTGAGCATTATCTAAATAAGTTTAACATATATATATATATATATATATATATAAAGATTAATTTAAACTAAATAACGGGGTGACCACTGGCTCTTAAAATGTCTTACATTTCAAAAACTACATTTAAGGTCTTAAAAATCTTAAATTCACTGAAATATGTGTCTTAAATCATTTTTAACAGATCTTAATTATTTTCCTCTAACCAAATAAAGCCACACAATCAGGCCGACATCCCTGCAAACACCAACAATCCAACCTTATAAAACCTTTTTTTTTTTTTTTTTATTTAAATTTATAATTAAGTTTTTTATTGCAAAGAGATGCAATGTATAATAGCTGTTAGAAATATTTCACAGTGATTCCTCCAAATGAAATCCCAGATTCCCAGGGAAAATAAATCTAAAAACAATTACACAGTTTCTCATGAAAATAACAGAGCAATATATCCCTTTACGTTGTTTTCCATTCTTGCAAAAACTCTCTACAGAAGTAAGGGAGAGTAGACATAATATTAATAAATAGGCATGACACTTAAGGTTTTATAACAGAAACACATTAGGTTGAATAGAAGTTATAGTCAATCAATTTGGACCAAAAGCCAACAAATATATTGATTATTTATGTTTTAACAATGTTAAACTTGTCAAAACTAAATATTATGTTGTAAAACGTGTGTTCAACTAGAGTTTTCTTGTTTTTTAGGCATTAAAGTATGTTGCTAAGAAATAATAGGGTGTATGCCGAAGCATGCTAATAGGACTTTTAATTTGCCTTTAACCTGGGTTAAGCGCTTCCGGCAAACTATGCCAATGCAAAAACCGGCGCTTTTAAGGTCTGTTTTCTTTAAAAGTCAGCGATCCCCACTAGCTGAGTGATATCCGATATAAAGTGGGTCTCAGATTGTGCAAGAAGCTCTGCATTACATTACATTCACCCCGCCATATCTTTATAATATGAGCATTTACTTTACCCCAGTATATTCAATGGAGCTTCTACGTTAGCCTGCCGATTCTGACGGGTGCGTGCGAGTAAACGGCTTTTTGTCTCATTTTACGCTTGAACAACTAAATGAATGCCAAAGTTGGTTTAACTGAATGTATTTTAATTACATTACAACATCGATGCTGTTTAAGGAACCGTATAAAATGAGAAAAAGTTCACAATAACAGCTCACCGGACGTTCATCAGTATGGGAAACACACTAGCTCCGCATTTACACCGTTACATTTGGTGGCAAGCGAAAACAATCCATTTAGTGGGCCCACATGGATTTTTAGCCCATCATTAATTCTGTTTATTTACTTGAGTAAATGTGGGTAAATCTATATCTATTCGGTTTTTAAATTAATTACAGTAATATTATTGACTAATGTGAAAATGTTCATCAGATTTATGCACAATGCAGTTTGAACAGTCATATTTTCAGTCTTTTAGTAGAGATATAATATGAGAGACTTGCTTTGTTTACTAAATAAAGTGAATCTTATTGGATTTGCATTTTAAACATTAAATAAAAGTTTAAAAGATTTTATTTTTTATTTCACATATTAAGATTTTAGTTATGATACTCCCAAAATAATTCTGCAGAAATCCACAGATTTATATCAAAATTCTCCACAGAAACAGCAAAAGACGTCCACAGATTCTGTCTGGCCCTGGCCATTAGAAATCATCATCAGTGTTTAGTCTTGTATAAGTCCACAGTTTCATTCATAATGGTCCTAAAAAGTCTTAAATTTGACACCTGTAGAAATCCTAAAGTGGATTGTTGCATGATTTATGACCATGATTAATGCTGTAATAACTTTGAACATGCATTGTTTTTCTTGTTATTTACCACGTATACATAAACATTAATGAAACATTAGCTCATGAATATTGACTTCTATAGGGTGTATGCCGAGCTAGTGCAGTTCCCATGCTGATACACTTCCGGTGAGCTGTTATTGTGAACTTTTTTCCATTTTATACAGTTCCTTAAACAGCATCGATGTTGTAATGTCATTAAAATACATTCAGTTAAATAAACTTTAGCATTTATTTAGTTGCTCAAGCGTAAAACGAGACAAAAAGCCGTTTACTCGCACGCTCCCGTCAGAATCGGCAGGCTAGCGCAGAAGCTCCATTGAATATACTGGGGTAAAATAAATGCTCATATTATAAAGATATGGCGGGGGAAATGTAATGTAATGCAGTGCTTCTTGTACAATCTGAGACCCACTTTAAATCGGATATCACTCTGCCAGTGGAGATCGCTGATTTTTAAAGAAAACAGACCTTAAACGCACCGGATTTTGCATTGGCATTCAATTCGCCAGAAGCGCTTAACCCAGGTTACTGGCAAATTAAAAGTCCTATTAGCATGCTTCAGCATATACCCCAATCTATGGAAAATTCATAAAATTTTATTACAGCGGTTTTCAGTGCTGGTCCTGGAGATGCACAACTCTGCATTGTACTGTATTCCTCATTCAACACACTTGATTCAGTTCATCGTCTCATTCAAAGAAAGATTCATTATTGTATCTGGGATCATTTTAAAGCTGAAATGCTAAAGTAGCCTGAAAAAATAAAACATTATTAATGAGCTCCGGGGACAGCATGCCAACACACTTTATAACCAATCATCAGCAAAGTGTAAACTCTTGAAATGCTTTCATATTGGTTGTTATGTTTGTTGTTTGTGTCTTCAAACTGTTTTGTTTTGTCACTTTAGACTCAGTGGAGCCGAAAGAAGAACCTCAGGAACTGATTGAAATGGAAGAGAAACATCAGTGTGAGACGCAACAAGTCTTAGCGACTGAAGAGCCACACACAGAGGCTACACAGACTTCCCCACGCACCAGCAAATCTCCTCAGAAAAGCAAGCCTAGCAGTCTTTTCATTTGCTGTCAGTGTGGAAAGAGCTTCACTCGAAAACAATCCCTCGAGGGCCACATGAATCTCCACAACGGAGAGAAACCGTACTCGTGCCAACAGTGTGGGAAGAGCTTCAGGCAGAAGCCCAACCTAAGAGTTCACATGAGAGTTCACACTGGGGAGAAGCCTTACACCTGCAAACAGTGCGGGAAGAGTTTCAGCCTGGTCCAAGGCTATAAGATCCACATGCGATCTCACACCGGAGAGAAGCCGTACGTCTGCCAACAGTGCGGTAAAGGTTTCAGTCAGATATCCTCCTTTAACTCGCACACGAGGATTCACACCAGAGAGAAGCCGTACTCCTGCCAGCTGTGCGGGAAGGACTTCAGTATAAAGCAGCACCTCAATGACCACATGATAATTCACTCCGCAGAGAAGGCGTTCGAATGCCAGCAATGCGGAAAGACTTTCTTCCTGAAAAGACACCTTAAAAAGCACATCAGGGTGCACAGCGGAGAGAAGAACTTCACCTGTCAGCTGTGCGGAAACAGTTTCACTCAGATGTACAGCCTTAAAAGACACATGAGGATTCACTCCGGAGAGAAGCCGTACTCCTGCCAGCAGTGTGGAAAGCGGTTCACGCAGAACAACAGCCTCGATATCCACGTCAGAACTCACACGGAGAGATCCTTCACCTGTCAAGAGTGTGGAGAAAGTTTTAACCTAAAAAGCGACCTTAATAACCACGTCAAGACTCACGGCGAAGAGAAGGCGTTTCCATGCGGTCAGTGTGAAAAGAGCTTCTCGCGTAAAGACAACCTCAATCGGCACATGAGGGCTCATATAAGCGAGTGTGTAATCAGTCTGGAATGAGCTTCCGTCATCATTTAACACTGGACGGCAGACATGCCAGCCCCTAACCTCAACCCCTTGTGACCTCACTTGTAGAAGAAGTGCAGCAAGGAGGAACTGGAGCTCAAGCTCCCTCCTGCTGGAGCTCAGCTCTGCTCATGTGGCTCTGCAGTGAGTACCACTTGAAAATGTACAGTCTAATTCGGAATAGGAATTTCTGAGCATTAATCTCCTCTTACTCTTCTTGATTGGTTAAATAAACAACTGCTGGTGTTGATCTGTTCTCTGAGTTCAGCTAAAGCCTAGTACACACTACATGACTTTAACCATTGAGAGATCCCTCTGCCATACTTTTTTTATTGCCTCAGGTAGCGACAAGCCAATATGAAAACGAAAAATGATTACCAACATCTTTCAGCTTCTTTTTCACTTCATCCAATGACCTCAGAAGATGGAAAAACGCCAGGGGTGCTCAACCCTGTTCCTGGAGATCAACCTTCCTGCAGATTTCAGTTGCAACCCATATCAAACACACCTGCCTGTAATGATCACGTGCCACTTCAGGTCCTAATTATTTGGTTAATGTGTGCTAAAGGTTGGAGCTGAACTCTGTAGGAAGGTAGATCTCCTGGAGCAGGGCTGAGCACCCCTGAAATATGCGATTCCTCATGTTTCAAAGCTGAATATTGTGCCTGGCGATCCTTAGCATAATCTCCTTGACTGGGTAGTGATGTATCCTTGCATTCATAATTTGTGGACCCCTCTACAAAGTGCACTTTCATAAAGGCTGAAGATCGTTGATCACTTGCTGCGTTTCCCACGATCACAGCCCGATCTGGCATACAATTCTGCATAAGTCTCAAACTCAATTCCTAGAGGGCCGCAGCTCTGCACAGTTTTGTTCTAATCCTAATCAGACACACCTGATCCAGCTAATCAAGGTGTTCAAGACTACTCCTGAACACCTTGGCTGCGTCCGAAACCGCCTACTACTCAGTAGGTACTGCATTTCAATTTAAACATACTACTCGGCCGTTAGAAAAGTGCGTTCCATACAGTATGAATGTGAAAAGTATGTATGGATTTCGGACGTACTACATCCGCCATTTTGTCATGGTCATGTGACCTACCTGCGTCAGTTGCGTCGCTTTACTTCCATTCATGAATTCGCTCGCGGGGCATCATGGGATAGCGCAGCATGCATGGGATGCACACTCCGGAATCTCGCCGGAAGTAGTAGGTCATCTGCGTATTTCTCGCATACTGATTTTCCAATTCTATGAATTCGGACATACTACTTGGCTCGCATACTAATTTTGGCGTACTATATCGTATGGAAGTATGCGGTTTCAGACTCAGCCCATGATTAGATAGATCAGCTGAGAGCTGCGGCCCTCCAGGACTTGAGTTTGAACTAGGCATTACTTGCCCAAACACTTGAGCTATAAAAGGATTCAGCCAATGAGTTTGTGAGCCTTTGTTAACCCCCATCTGAAAGTACACCGAAGGAGGGATATAAATGATGACTGCTCCACGATTGGCAAATATCCTATATGTTATAGTGAGTAATAAAGTAGAATTTGTCTTTAAGATCAGTGGTGCCCGAACTCGGTCCTGCAAAGGTTATTTCCACCCAGGGCTTAATTTGCGCCGGAACACTTCATTTTAGCGATCCCTCTCCTCAACCGCCCTCCTCCCTCGTCCCCTGTTCACTTTCACTTTCTTCCATGACTCCCCAACCATCTTCATTTTTGTCTGTGACAACACCCTCCACACTACGCGACACCTCTACATCCTCGAGTAACATGCCGGATCAGTTAGCCCGATCTTTTTCGGGACCTCACAACAGGTTCCAACCCCAATCACACACACCAAGGCTGCGTCCGAAACCGCATACTACTCAGTAGGTGCTGCATTTGAATGTAAACGTACTACTCAGCTGTTAGAAAAGTGCGTTCTATACAGTACGAATGTGAAAAGTATGAATGGAATTCGGACGTACTACATCTGCCATTTTTTCATGGTCACGTGACCTACCTGCGTCAGTTGCGTCGCTTCACTCCCATTCATGAATTCGCTCGCGGGGCATCATGGGATAGCGCAGCGTGCATGGGCTGCGCACTTCAGAATATCGCCTGAAGTAGTAAGTCATCCGGGTACTTCTCGCATACTGATTTTCGAATTCTATGAATTCGGACATACTACTCGGCACGCATACTGATTTTAGCATACTATACAGTGTGGAAGAATGCGGTTTCGGACGCAGCTCAGACCTATCAAGCTCTTACTAGGCTTTCTAGATGTATCCTTGCAGGTGTGTCGAGGCAAGTTGGAGCTAAAATCTGCAGGACACCGGCCCTCCAGGACGAGTCTGGACACCCCCTGGCCTAGATCATATGATGACTTTGGTGCAGTTGTCTCAAACTCAATTCCTGGAGCTCTGCACAGTTTAGCTTCAACCATCTCGACTCAAACCTGCTCAAGAGTCTCTAGTAGGCTTGATTATTTGGATCAGCTGTGTTTGATTAGGGTTGGAGCAAAACTGTGCAAAGCTGCGGCCCTCCAGGAATCCAGTTTGAGACTATTGCCTTAGTGCAGGGATGTCTGGACTCGGTCCTGGAGCGCCGGTGTCCGGCAAAGTTAGTTCCAACCCCAATCAGACACAGCTAGCCTAGCTAATCAAGCTCTTACTAGGCTTTCTAGAAACATCCTTGCAGATGTGTTGGAGCTAAACTCTGCAGGACACCGACCCTCCAGGACCAAGTTTGGACACCCCTGCCTTAGTGTCATCCCTCTTCAGAGTAAAACTGGAATGCTATGTGTGCCCTTGCTTTTTCTGAATGCCACATTATTTATTTCACAGAGACCTCTCATGTGGAACTGGATGTTTGATGCTACCTGAACAGCCGTGGCTAGATGTTAATTTTACTGAGTGAAAGAGTTCACTACTTTAAGCTTCTGTTGTTTGAAAGAAACTTTGTATGCTTTGTTAGTGTCCATTCTGATAAGACCCCTGCTAGAGAGCAGGACAGCCTTGACGTAGACAAGTATTCGTTGTATATGTGAGTTTATTGGTGAGGACAAGCTTAATTTCTCCTCTGATCATCCTCACCACAGAAATATCCTTCTGTCATGCCTTCTGTTATGTATGCTTGATGCCCAAGTGATCATTGGAGATATTGTTAAGAATTTTATCTCTGTTTAACCAATCTGGTAAAATGCCTGTATGTATGACGCAGTTCATGACGTTATGTGAGAGTATAATAGTTGTTGATTTGAGATTGTTAGCAGAGCGGCCTATTAACTCTGTCTGAGTGTTGAAGCTGGCATCTGCTGATGAAACTGCAAGCTATCTTCAGTAAACTTTCTTTGATTGTATCTCTGACTCAGACTCTGACTGCAGGTCCAAATGAGGATCAAATGACTGAGTTGAGCTTTGAGAATGAACCCCAACCAGTTATCTGCTCAGCATCTTCATGTTTGACTGTGAATGTGTCTTCAATCTTCAGGTCTTCACTCTCCTCTTTAATAAAGGCCATCTTTATAATAGTGGAGCTCAGTCGCTTCAGCAGGAGTTTCTCTGTCTGTTTAAGAGGAGAAGAATCAACACAAACAAGAAGAAATCAACACTAAACCTCTGTCTGTGTCTCAATCACTTCTCTAGCTCACTAGTCATATATAACTCTAAACTGAATGCTCATTACCCTGTTGAAAAATCCAGCTTAGAGGGGTTTTGGCCATTTCCAGGCTGGTTTCCAGCCATTTCCAGCCTGGTCTTAGTTGGTCAGGCTGAAAAATGTCCAGCCAAATCCAGCTAAAACCAGCTTGACCAGCCTGGTTTAAGCTGGACATAGCTGGTTTTGGCTGGACAACCAGCTTGGCTAGGCTGGTCAAGCTGGTTTTAGCTGGTCATCTCCCAGCCTGACCAGCTAAGACCAGACTGGAAATGACTAAAACCCCTCTAAAACCAGCCAACCAGCCTAGGCTGGTTTAAGCTGGATTTTTCAGCAGGGTACTAACTCTTTAATACTATAATTTACATAAAATAAGATTGATGTATTGCATTACATCAAAACAAAATGGCCAAAGAGTTGTTTTAATTGAGCCTGCGTTTCTAAAAGCTTCTTTTCTGACCTCTTCCAGTGTCTAAATTGGTGTTTCCTATTAACTGATCGATGTGGATGTCATTTAATAACAGAAAATACCCGCATAATATAACTAAACTATCGGAAAGGTTAGAAAGAGCTTTACTCTGTAAATTCTGTGACAATTAAACCATTTAATTATGCTTAGGAAACTATGAAATTGCATAGCTGGACTGGAGTCAGCATGTCAAACATGTAACCTAACCTCCTAAAGCAGAAACGCGACGCACACGTATGACGTCACACCGCAAAGCCAAAACAAACCTGTTCAGAGTGCACTGTATGCACTTCAGAGGAATTTGAGGTTGCAGCGATTTTGGGGCTACTAATGAAAGAACATCTAAGCAAAACTTGAACTGATTGTGTTGACGCCATTTAAACTGTAAACAGTTTGTTAAAAGCGCTGAAATAAAAAGCATATATATCAGAATAAACGATAGCTGAATTACACTGTGTAATATTCTACGAGCTCTTGGAAGTTTTAGACAACAAAATATAAAGAGGACTTTTATTTTGACGCGGGCGTGTGACGCCGTGTGTGCGCCGCGCTCGTGCATTTGTTTTGATCTGGCTGAAGCGCGTGTGCTTCAGTGTTTCAGCTTTATATTAATATAGACCGTTTAATAGTTTAAATTGAGCGATGAATATTGGTTGAGTATACATTAGCGCTGAAATACATTCATTTACACCGCGTTCAACTTTTATAGCGCGTTGTATTTGTCCTCTTAGTTTTATCATTTACCGTTTGTCTAATCAAATTAGGTTTGTCATAAATGCTTGAATTCATCTTAATACACTGCCTTCTGTTTATATGGTTAACATTTATTCATGATGAAGAATTATTTAATAAGCTGCCCACGTGAAAAATATAAACAGTATAATGATTTTTCAATCGTACTATATATATATATATAACGGAGTTAAAATAATGGTTAAAATAATGGTTCAACTAGGAACACTCACTATTGGTTTTGGCATTACCTGAAGTCGCGTCCATCACAGTAGGGGGCGGTGCTACATAGCATAGTTCACCAGCAGCAGCAGCAGCAGTCCCGAGAAGTCTCTGCTGGTAAGCTGCTTTGGTGATCGCTTGTCTTATTAAATATTAATTAACATCGGCACTTGGGAACTTTGACACTCTGTTTAATTCACTTTTAGACACCAATATCATAAGAGCTGCAGACGAACTAAACCTATGGTGCTGTGTTTGTGTCAGGTATGTTTATTTACTATTTTGAGAATGTTCTGTGTTAGCAGTTGCACACATGCTATGCCATGAGTTGTATTTATCCTGCTCTGTCGGTCCTTTTCCCAAAAAAAAAAGCTAATTATTAGCCACTTGAGTTTACTGTGGTGTTGAAGTGATGTGATTCTGATGAGAAATGAAAAGAGACAGGTTGTTTTTATTGTCATGTATGTTTTATTTTCATTTATAACCGCTATACATCATAATGTCTAAGTTAAGAGGAAATGTAATTTACCAGCATGTCCGAGAAGCCATTGAGGTAAAGTTGGTTTATATTCACACATTCAGACATTCTCCTGAATAATATAATGTCAGAAAAGTATTCTTTGCTAATTCTCAATAGGGAAGTCATATTAGCAGCCAATGACTATCAAAGTACATCATTGTTCACAGTCAATTAAATAGTGCTAATGTTGTTTTAAAGTCGTACTTTACATGTGATTTTAGTCTGAATTTTCTGAAAATTCAGTCTGAAAATTCATTGCTGAATTTTGATAGCCATTGGCTGCTACTATAATCTCCCTATTTACAAGACTTTTTTATATCATTATATTATAAAGGAGAATGTCTGAATGTGTGACTATAAAACCAACCTCACCTCAGTATCTATGGTGCTGTGTTGAAAATGCAATATCAGGTGAATGAAAGCAAACATTTCTGAATCTTCAGCCGGGGTGAGGATTTTACAAAACTCTGGGTTCAGTAGCCACATGACCTCAGTGGAACTGGAGTTTTTAGGTGCGTTCGACACGAAGCATGTGATAGACGAGATGCTGATCACATGCTTTGAGGGCGGAGTTTAAATGGTGTAGTCATTTATTTATTTATTGCAATAACAACAAAAGATTTGCAGTACAAATAAAACAGCACACAGTATCTACAAACTGTAGTTCATCATTAAACAATACGGGAATTATAAATTGAATTTAAGTAGCCTGTATAGCAAACGCATGAGAAATATAGGGGGAAACGACAGGATGCATAAAAAGGAGATAATATCCATGAATAGGGTTATTTTGGACAATAAAGCATTTAAAAAAAGCATTTTAATCCAAAAACATTGAACAAAAGGAGCAAAATAAATGAGGCACACTCTAAGTGGAAATCAGTGTCACTCTTAACATTTCTGCAAAAACAGCTCGACAAGAAACACAATATAATTAATCATTCATTTTCTTTTTAGCTTAGTTCCTTTATTAATCAGGGGTCACCACAGCGGAATGAACCACCAACTCATCCAGCATGTGTTTTACACAGCGGATGCAGCTGCAACCCAGTACTGGGAAAATGAAATATTTTATAATCACATATTTTATATTTAATTAAATATTTTTTTACTTAATTTGTTTCAAAAATATTTCAAGCTCAATGGGTATAATTATTTTATTACAAGTTTGTAAGACCTATTTGAGTTAATACAGGTTGTTTACTAAAATACATCATTTAAATCATTTATGGGGCTGAAAGCAGTAAATAGTCTGTATGAAAATTGAATAAATAATAATAGCAGATTATTGATCAAAAGATGATACTGCAGTGAAGTATGTGTAGTCTTTTAATAAGCATGATGTGCGCAGGATAGAGAGGGGATGAAAAGTGAATTGTTTGTTTTGAAATTCGTGAATCGGAAGTTGTCCATTAATAAACCTGAAACACACGCGGTTGTTGTCATGCGATGAGCTCAACCAATCCGTGTCGTCATCACAGCTCCTGCTGTCGCTCTTCATATGCTGCACAGGCTGAAGCCTCCTTTCCACTGCACACGACAAGCGACAAGCGACAGACCGGAAGTCATTCATTTCCAATGGAGAGCAGTCCGGGAGCTGCGTGGAGTTCCGATCATCTCTGTATGCGGAAAATTCGGATCCCAATTGAGCTTCGGATCCGTTGAAATATTTGAACTCCTGCGACTAGACCGAATGCAACCTGCCGACCGGATATTATAGTGTTGTCCAAGCAGATCCGAGCGCGCGAGATGAGAAATAGGAGTTTATTTGGTTATTTTTTGAATTATAAAAAGTCTATATTAAAAAGAAAAACTTTTCTGTTCATAAATGTAAGTAAGAAAGTAATAAAAATATATATTTCAATGTTGTGTCCACATTCCCTCTAATATTTCTATGAGTTTCTAGTAATTATTCATCCATTAAACCATGTAAACGCACAGAGAATAAAGGCTCTTGCTTTTGCCCTCCTTTATTTCAGACACCGTGAGAATCAGCTTCTCCCCGTTGGTGCACGACAACACTGAAAATACTGTGCGGCTGCCACAAGGGGGCGAATTCCGACAGTCGTGTCCAAATGTCGTGTGCAGTGGAAAAGCGGCTTGAGTGAGTCGTCTGATCTCGGAGCGCTGTTGCGATACTTTGATGCCACATGTGACAGTCAGGTGGCGTCGGCGCAGCGTCAATCCGGACAACATTTCCTACCAGCATGCACCGCTTAAGACAGATTTCGATCGATCTGTGCAGCGCTGCATTAAGTCGAACGTGCTTTTTGCCTGGTGATGTCAGCGTGCTTTGTTTTTTCTTTCTGGTTGGCCAACACAGCTGAAATCACACCAAACGCTGAAGATATAATCGAGATGAATGCAGCTTTTTTTTATTAATGCTTGTATTAATAAAATTTGGATTAATAATTAATAATTTGGTAATAAAAATTAAAATTTAATAATTTGGATTAATAATTTAATTTGGAGAAAAACAAATGAAATAAGCTCATAAAAAGAGCAGGTTCTGTTGTGGGGTGTGCACTACCTACCATAGAAGAGATTGCACAGGATCCAATGCTGGACAAATTTGTTAGTATAATGAACCACGATAGTCATCCCCTTTTTGATACAGTCCAAGCGTGTGCAAGCTCTTTTAGTACAAGATTAATTTAACCCCGGTGCTACAGAGAAAGATACAGGAAGTCTTTTTTACCAACAGTGATCAGATTGTATAACCAAAGTCATAGCAGATGAATTGTGCTGAACCTGAATTAGATATTAGATATGGACAAGTGTTTACTCGTTGTTTTTGGAACCAAGGTGTGCAGTATGAAATGTAATCTTATTATTGTTCCTATATGCATGTAACTTATTTATCTATTTTTAGTATGGAGAGCTCTGCTGTGACATGTGAATTTCCCTCCGGGGATTTATAAAGTCAAAACTAAACTAATCAAAATTGTTTTATTTAACAGCTGTAGTAGCTTAGTTTAGTTGCTTTGAAGACACTGACAGCTAGTCATGGATGGAGCCTGATTGAGACACAGACAGAGGTTTAGTGTTGATTTCTTCTTGTTTGTGTTGATTCTTCTCCTCTTAAACAGACAGAGAAACTCCTGCTGAAGCGACTGAGCTCCACTATTATAAAGATGGCCTTTATTAAAGAGGAGACTGAAGACCTGAAGATTGAGCAAGTGTTCACATTGAAAAGAGAAGATCACGAGGAGCAAACAGGTTGGCTTTCATCAGCTCAGCTCAGTCATTTGCACCTTGATGTCAAAAATGACCTTAAATTGAGATTGATGTTGAAAAACTTAAAAAGGCCTTGTCGTCCATTTGACATGCACACAAAGGGGCCTGTTTCAGAAAGGAGGTTAAGCGAAAACTGAGTATGTTAACCCTGAAATGAGAGAAACTCTGGGTTTTCAGTTTCAGAGTGGCAGGTTTGTTAAACTGGAGAAAGCAGGGTAAGTCAAGCCTGTTTCTGAAAGAGAGGTCACTTTAACTCAGAGTCAGTTACTGTGAACCTAACCTGGTCAGGAGCAGGTTTTATTCTCTAAACTCTTGAGTTTCTGTCGGTCTCCTCCCCTTTATTAAAGATGAAGCAGTATTTCTTACCTTAGCCTTACATTTTCATCACCTATTTTAATGCACTTTTGGAGATGCGCATAAAAACGGTTGATGGAAACGTCATGATGCACATAACTTTTGAAAATAGGCATAAAAACACTTGCACATAATAATAAACTGTGTATTCGATAAGAAAAAATGCGCGTAAACTACTATAGAAACACTTTTACCGAACAAATTCCAGTATGTGCATTAAAAAGGTTTGTTATAATAAGAGATCATGTGATGATGAAAATGTGAATGGACAAACCAGCACACTGTAACGCATCTGAAATGTTGTTTTGGTTATTATATATCACCATAACTGTTTTATTATTGTTATTATAGACTATTATTAATTACCTCCAGACTCCAGATGCTCTGGAGCGTCGAGAGCTGTTCTCCGCATCTCATGTCTTCAAACACCACCACGCATTCATTGTGTGTCGGCATTGTCCTCTGAGGTGAAAGTCATTTAATAAATAAGGAAAATATTGATGCAGCTTCTTCTACCGCAGTATATTCTGTCTTTACTGTGCGTATTTGGCGTATACCTGTGAACATTGAGATGTGAAAATAAGGGATATGACCACCATAATAAGTTACTACATAAATGACTAAATATGTTCATTTGGATTTGTTTCACTGTAAATGAATAGTTAAATGGTCAGTAATATGTTTGATTATTATTATTAACAAAAAAAAAGAGTAAACATCAGCAGCAAATACATTAGCAAACAGTTCAGCTTATTAAAATCAATAACTAATATAATGAAATATAATCAAGCTATCAATCTATTAACCGTTTCTCCACTGTATAACTTACACGTTCTCATTAAAGAGCAGCGAATGAGTCTCTTATTTATTTAGATTTTTTTGTTTAAATTAAATAACAGAAGTGTCACTTTAAAAATGCACACATCTAACTTTATCATGAAAGCATTCGACTGCTTTCCAAACTGTTTATGCTCATTTAAGACGAAATTAGTTGTGTTTTGGATAAAAAACTACCAAGATGGACATCTTTAGATGTTAATATTATTAATAATGTGTATATGTCTGTTTAAACACGCACCCAAAACCCAGACTTTTGCTCCGCTTCAAATCGCGAGTATCGGTTTGGGAAACAGCGTCTGTTTATCACTATGGAGCGCGTCAGCTGACAGTCACGCACCGCTATATGACTGTTGATTACCGTAAAGTGGCTGTAGGTATTACATTTTCAGCCGGTGTGCTTAATGACGACAGGGAAGCACAGTGGTCCACAGTAAAACACCTAATAGTTGAATAATTTAGTATGTGTGAAACAGGAGAGAAATGACAGTCTGCGTGATTTATTAGCTTATTACGGTTGTTCAGCTACAGACGCTTACGTCGGCGCTGTCATTACGCGGTTGTCGAGGTGAGGTTCAAAATGCAAATATGGGAAAGTGTAAATTTAATAATGTGACAATGAGGCAATGTGTATATTCTGCAAATAGACCTTTTCGTTAGGGACCATGGGCCTAAAAGCTGCCGAGTCTCACATGAAAGGTGGAAAGCAGCAGCGGTAACTTGCGTTGCAGCAGCTAACGTTAGTCATAGCGGGTCCAGGGTAATCCCTGCATTGTTTGCAGCTAGACCTAACAGTGTTACTAGTTCAGACTAGAGCAGAAGATTCTGGCCAGAACCCGAGGGGTTCGGGTGGGTTCGGACTTAATTTCTTATCATTTTAGACAGGGCCGGGCTTGGGTTTGCGCAGTAAATGAACAGTCATGTGATGCATTTCAGTTAGCTCGAGAAAGTAATCCAAACGTTTGTTACATTAAAATCCATCCCTGCTGAGGTGAAACAAATGATGACGGAGAAGTCAAAAAGAGCGGTACAAAGAAGTGGGAATGATGGACACTTCACGCACCCAACGACTGCAGCTTTGCTCACGTAGCGGGAGGGGCGGAGCTATAGGGTTAAGTTAAAGTTTTTAATCTCTCTGTAAATCAATCCAGAGTTCAAGTTTCTACTTCGAGTTGGTTGAACCTCCTTACTGAAACATGCCTGATGTGATTTATTTCCAGGGTGTCCGCGGGGTCTTAAAGTATTAAAAGTTGATAAATCAAATAAAGGTTTTTAAAAGTCTCAATCCTGTTTTTACGGGGTCTTAAATTTATGTTCAAGTGTTGTCCAAAGCGTTTGACTCCAAAAAAAAGTATAAATGTATTTATTTTCCTCCTCTGTGGGGGTGATGTCAAGTAATTTGCGTCAAACGGGGGGAAGTGATGTGACACTCTCTACATGTAGTGAAACCAGCATGGCCCTGGGGCTATAGCAAATCCAAGGACCCCCTTTTATTTTTTTCCTCAATTTCTGTTTGATGGAGAGCAGATCAGGAAAATATAAAGCTTAAGGGGCTAATAATATTGTCCTCAAAATGGTGTTGTGGACAAAAGGAGTTTATTTTAATTACTTTTGTGTATTTATTTATTTTTTACAAAAATGTTTAGACTAACAACAGATTATTCAATCTTTTTCTCTTGTTTGACACCATATACTGACCAGGCATACTTCTTTTTTACTGTGCTGCACACTTTTTAGAAGGAACTGCTGACAAGAGGGAAATAGCTAAACAAGAATAACTATAGGGCAGAGGCCCTTGTTCCAGACTGCTGGCTAATACAAAGTCTGGACATGTCACAAGATGCATGATGCTTGTAGAAGTTGTGAAATATGTTGAAGATGCACTTCACTGTTCAGTTCTGGTATGCAGAGAAGGGTTGCAGAAAGAGGAAGTATGTCTGGGGTACAAGAGTCAAAGGACTGCAGAATGACTGATCAGTGATGTTACAGCAGAACTCCACCTGTTGATATCAGTTCTGTATATATGCTGGAGTCAGGGAAATGCAGGTTATTAGTGAACCTCTTGAATGTAATTCTCGTATTGCATTGGGGTAACATAACCCAGAGCTCTGTCCTCCAATTATTCATTTGTATCTAATGAATTACTAATATTTTTGGCATTGAAGAAAACCCTCTCCTGACCTTTTCTTATTGAACACGCGTGTAATTGGCTTGATATTCCAACAGTGTCTAAAAAATTAAAAACTGCTTTTATTATAGCCAAAATAAATTATCAGACATGCTGTGAACATTTCCTTGCTCTGTTACACATCATTAGGGATATTTGAAAAAGGAAAAAAATCCAAAGGGGGGCGAATAATTCTGACTTTGACTATATAATTGTTGTTGTTTAGTATTATTAATGATAATAATTCACTAATTAATATCGTCTAATTTTCCATCATTTGATTTATAGTTGATTATTATATATTTTTCTATTTTATTAAAATAGGGCTGCAAGTAGGCTATACCAAATTAAGTGATGACGTGAAACAAAGTTTATAGATAAAACAGGCTGCAAAAATCGGCAAAACAAAAAGCATTTGCAATAATTCCTGCATTATTCCTTTATAATAAATCCATTAAATAAGGGTTTAGCTTTAAAATGTTTCTGTAGAACTTTAGCTGACTATAAACCCCTAATAATATACTATCTTTAATATCCACGCTTCTAATATTCAAAATATTGTGGTATATTATGAGTTGCAGGCTAGCATCCTTTTATTCAATTTTTTTTTTGCATCAGATTTCAGATGTATAACCAGATGAAAGCTAGTGCCAATATTTAATTCCTCCATATCACTGTCAATTTCATTTTAAGGGGCAAAGTGCACATTAATAAAGTTTGCTTTCTAACTGGTTCAGTTAGGCTTACTCTAAAGAAATACATAGCCTACTCCACAACGACGGACATTTTGATTACTGCTTTTGATAACTTCTGCTGTGGGCATGCGCTGGTTTCTTGAGTCCAGCTGTAACAGCCGCATGTCAGAGACTTCACTTCAGCTATCAGTCCATTCAGTATCATTCCGCCTATCCCAGCTTCTGTTACTACATGTGCAAGTTAATCAACGATGAAGACTGTGAGAGCCTACCTCTGGCTGGACGGTTCTCACGGTAGTGCTGAAATAAGGGAGTGTCCTGGGAAAATTGGGACATCTGATCACCCTTATGGGTGACTAAAACAGGGCTAGTCAATATTCTGATTGGGCTACAGCCTCTCTGAGCCACAGTTCAGAGCACTTTGAGCGCCGGTGTCACTGTTTTTAAACAACAGCAGGAATACTTCACATTATTGACGAGGGAAAGCATAACGCAAAGAAGCGTTTCTGCATCATAGCGCAAATTAATAGCCAATCAAGGGCCCCCTTCTTCCATGTGCCCTGAGGCTTCAGCCCTACCTAGCCCTGTGCAGCCCCTGTGTCAAACTTGGCCCGCGAGGCAATTTGTTCCTGCGAATAACAGCAGCTATAGTTATAAAGTGACGTATATTTGTTTAATACAGGGCGTATTGTTCAGAGCGTGAGTCACCTGACATTTAGCGAGTGAGTGGTGCGAGCAGCTGAAAACATTTGGATGCTTTGAAAGCTTATCAACGCCATGTTTCTGTTGCGTAACTGCTGCAACTAAAAGTTTTGCCACCTGTGCGCTAGTTTAAAGTTCCAAACTTATAGCTACACCAAGGCTAATAAGCACACACACTGGACTAACTATAGCAGCGGGCCGTTCACATATCACAACTTTCCATGGGCAAATTAGAATGTATACCAATATGCGCGCACCGAGTAGAAAACATCACGCTGTAGCGGTGAGAGTTGTGTGGCTTTAAGTGCGATGTAAACAAAAGATACGTCAGACGAATTATTACAAATTGCATATTATGATTATGTCTGTACGAACGCAGATAATAACAACCGTTAATTTAAATACTTACCTAATATATCGCTTAATTTTACATTAGATTTGCTGTTGTTTCATCACTCATATTGTCCTATCTCACTTGGGATACTTCATGAACTGGCCCCCATGACAAACTAATTGAATAGCCCTGCTACAGAATGAAACTGACGGCAAAATGGGAGAATGCAAGTTTGCAAACTCTTGGTTGGAGAAAGCCAAGATTAAACAGTGGCTGAAAACAACAACGTGATTTATTCTTTCAAGGTTTGCTTAACTAAGTTTTGTTGCTCAATTCAACTCTACAACTGTTTATTAGCAACAGTCAGTGTCCCTGCAGGATTTGGCCCCAACTTGCCTCAGCACACCTGCCTGGGTGTTTCAAGAACACCTAGTAAGACCTTGATTAGCTTGTTTAGGTGTTTGAGGGTTGGAGCTAAAATCTGCAGGACACCGGACCTCCAGGAACCAGTTTGGTGACCCCAGATTTAGACTTACTTCATTTAACTAGCATCATCATATCTGAAATCTGATCTGTTCAAAGCTTCAGCAATTTCTTTGCTGTTCCAGGGATCTTCTGAGCCAATTTTGGGAACAATCTGACAGGTTTGAAGATATTATGAACAAATGGTGGCATCTGTACAGCATGTTTAAATGTAATATATTAAAAGTGTTCGGTTTGGGGATTAAAATGTACATCGTAAGACAAAGGATCCAATAGGAAAACAAAATATTAGATAACAATACCTGCATTTGTTATATTCATCTTAGATCTGACACTTTTAAAAGAGGAGATTCAAGAGCTGAATGATGTCAAGGAAGAGGAAGACCCGAAGGCTCAAAACACACCACAGAAACATTTCAAACGCCACTATTGTGGAAGAGGTTTCACTGAAAAGCGAAACCTTACAGTTCACTCAAGAGTTCACACTGGAGAGACGCGCTTCTCCTGCAAAAAGTGTGGGGAAAGCTTCAATAAGAAAGACCTATTCGAAAAGCACAAGGAAATCCATTTGGCTGTTATTTGCCGTCATTGTGGACGGCAGTTTACACAAAAATACATTAAAACCCACATGAGAATTCACACCGGGGAGAGACCTTTCAGATGTGGTCAATGCGGAAAGAGTTTCGCTCAGAGGAGCACTCTTGACACACACGTGATAACCCACACTGGAGAGAGACCGTACGCTTGCTCTCACTGCGGAAACGGCTTTACCACGAAGGCATCACTAGATTGCCACATGAGGATTCACACCGGAGAGAAGCCTTTCACCTGCGAACAGTGTGGAAAGAGCTTTAGCGAAAAGGGAAGCCTAACAATCCACATGAGATTTCACACTGGAGAGAGACCTTTCGTTTGCTATCAGTGTGGAAAGGGCTTCGTTATTAAAGGAAACCTCGACAGGCACATGATCGTTCACAGTGGAGAGAAACCGTACTCCTGCCCTCAGTGTGGAAAGGGTTTTAAACATAAAGCAAGGATAGGTGTCCACATGATGATTCACAGCGGAGAGAAGCCTTTCGCATGTGATCAGTGTGGAAAGAGCTTCAGCACCAAAGTACATCTTGAATCTCACAAGAGGGTTCATTTGAAAGACAACCGTGTAAAGTGCCATCAGTGTGGGATGAGTTTCCCAGACGGCAGTCAGCTTAAAGATCATGTCCAAACTCACATCGGACAGAAACCTTTTATGTGCCCTGAGTGTGGAAGATCTTGCTCGAAAAAGCCGAGCCTCAAGATTCACATGAGGAGTCACGCCGCAGAGAAGCCTTTCACCTGCAAACAGTGCGGGAAGAGTTATTGTGTTAGAGGGGTGCTTAACGTCCACATGAGGATTCACACTGGGGAGAAACCTTACACTTGCAAACAGTGCGGGAAGAGTTTCTTATATCAGTCAGACCTGAAACGTCATTCGAAAACTCATTCTGGACAGGAAGATTAAAGCTGTGGTCACACTAGAGCAGTGGTAGGCAAACTCTGTCCTGGAGGGCCGGTGTCCTGCAGATTTTAGCTCATGCTAGCAGCGTTGTTGAGGTAAGTTGGTTTCTAGAAAGCCTAGTAAGAGCTTGATTAGCTAGCCCAGGTGTGTCTGATTAGGGTTGGAACTGAACTTTGCAGGACACCGGCCCTACAGGACCAAGTTTGGACATGCCTGCACTAGAGCAAGGGTTCTCAATCTAGGTCCTGCAGATTTTAGCTCTAATCTTAATCTGACACACCTGGACTGGATAATTAAGCTCTTACTAGGCTTTCTAGAAACATCCTTGCAGGTGTGTCGAGGCAAGTTGGAGCTAAAATCTGCAGGACACCGGCCCTCCAGGACCGAATTTGGACCGCCCTGGCCTAGGTCATATGATGACTTCAGTGCAATGGTCTTAAACTCAATTCCAGTAGCTCTGCACAGTTTAGCTTCAACCACCCCCAACTCAAACCTGCATAATAGTCTCTAGTAGTCTTGAGAACCTTGATTATTTGAATTAGCTGTGTCTGATTAGGGTTGGAGCAAAACTGTGCAGAGCTGCGGCCGTCCAGGAATTGAGTTTGAGACCATTGCCTTGGTGTCCTTTCTCTTCAGAGTTTGCTGTTGCTTTTTCTGTATGCCAAATGATTTTTTTCCTTAATCTTTTCCCGCCCATCGAAGAGGCACCGGACCTTTAAGACCGAGTTTGAGAACCCCTGCACTAGAGTTTGAGAGTGCTTGATCCTGTGGGCCAGCCTGAACACCTGCCAGTGCCCTGCTCACACCTGCAGCTTCTCCACGATGAACGTCCAGTGTTTTTTAGCCTCTGATGCCTGGACTGCAGCTCTACACAAAAAGTTTGGCCAGAGGAGATGTGGTCATACCCAACTGTTCCTTCACTTTAGTCAATTGGTGAAGTTCTGTTCCTCCACTGCCACCACTGGCTTGCTTGGTTTAAGACTTGTTGATCTGCGGATTGGATTTGCTCTTCAGTGTTTGGACTTTCAGCAGTGAAATTTAAACCACACTTGTCGAAACTTGTCGCACAAGCTTGTGTTTCAGGTCTGACACATTCGTGTTCGTATAAATGGAAGTCTGTTGGGTGAAAAGTGCAGTGTGGCCACGGCTCAAGGGTCCGTATATCCTGAACCAATGCAAGGACCAAAATGTCATTTGTGTATCTCACAGGTGTGACAGTTTAGCTTTAACTTCAATCACCCGTCACACTTCCGTAGGAACTGTGGGACACGCTACATAAAGATTAAGTCACTGACGTTACATTACAGTGTTCATGTTGATGGAATTGAAATATTAAATGCAAAAATCTTGAAAAGAATATGTGAGGACAATTCAATTCACAATTCATGCTATTAGCAAACCATTAAATAACGCTATTAGCTTAATAAATGCTTCTCAATAGTAAAGTAGTAGTTGGGTTTAGGATTTGAGTAGGATTAGGGATTTGGTATAAAATAATACTCTATTAAATACCAGTTAATATTGCTGGAATAAGCTAGTAGTGATTATCATTAATTGTGACTTAAGCTAAAGTGTTAGCGAATGTGTTTTAAACACTCTAGAAACAAGATAAGTAGGATTTACTGGTTCCTTCATTAAAGATTTACATCACAGAAAAGGTTTAATTCTTCATGTTTGACGCTGCTAATGGACGAAAACAGTGCATTTTAATCTGTCCAAATCATTCATACAGTAGTTAATAGGAGCCAGTAATTCACTTATTATAGACTGATTTCATGAAGCCGCCATTTTAAAAGCGAAATCGAGGCTGCGGTGGAAGAAACCCTGAAGTCTCGCCTGGAGTCACACAGGAACGTTGTGTACCTGGCTGTATATCCTTTAAGCGAAGAGAAACCAACACAAATTTATAATGTCACCACCTTCCGAGTGACCCGAAGGTCCGTTCTGAATGGATAGTGAAAATAAAAAGGGATATCGGACCTCAGTTTCAGCTAAGTTAAGGGAAATGGCACTAGCTAGCTAACGTTATCCTTCCCAAACACACATTTTAGATGCCATTAATCAAACTCAAGTTAGTGAACTGATTCCTTCAGTATATTAGACTCATCACGATACTAAATTTCAGTTTTGCCACACGGTATATGAATTTCTTCCCACTGCAGCCTCACTTCAGTGTTTAAAATGCCGGCCACGTGAAATAAGCGTATTAGTTACCCTCTTTAACACAGACATGTACAGGCATCTTAACCAAAGTCTTCTTTAATACAATAAAAAACAAACAGTTTTATAATGTACACATAAAAATACAGTACCAGTGCAAAACACCATTACATTTGGTGATACCTGATTCAGTTTGAGCCACTTCTTCAAATTTAAAGCGGAATTACGAACACATACACACGTTCAAGTATATCAGCGGTGTGAAGTAACACTCAAATTAGTGTAACTGGCTAGGTTTTCTCAGGAATTGTGCTTTACTAAGTAGTTTTCTAAATGTGTACTTTACTATGTTTACTTGAGTACATGTTTAGTTCTGTATCGAATGATGAGTCCTGCGATTCCCGTCCAATCAAACAGCATCATACAGAACAACCTCAAGAGACTACATCAACACACGCAATGACAGAGAGTGTTTAGATGCACGTCACTACTGAAAAGATGATGAATATCTGCTGCATGAGGACTGATATGGCCTTAAGCCTGATTTATACTTCTGCGTCAAGTGACCGGCGTAACCCATGGCGCAGGCAACGCGAGTGGCTGTGCATTTATACTGCTGCTGCTGTCTCTGTTGGTCTGCATTAACACTTCCGAAACGCTAGTTGGCAGTGAGGTGTTAATGCTCCTCTGTGTCGAGTTTCCTCGCTGCTGTTCTGCTTTTCCTGAACACTTCCGGGATGTACAAGTGACTCAAACTCGCTCATTTTGAGGCAGGAACCGGCGGACGTGCAACAACTTTAACTATGAGTTAAACACAAAACAAAACTTTCCATCCGGAGCTCCTTCACGGGACTCCACACTTGTAAACAATCGCTCGCGCCTTTCGCGTGGCTCTCGGTCCCGCCCAGACTCGTCAGCGCTACCAAGCCGACCAATCACAGAGCTTACGCTACGCGTCGTTGCGACGTGTAGTTACAATTTTTGAGAGGTGCACGTCAGCGACGGCGATGGCCACGGCAAAGGGCTATGCGTCAGCGCCGTAGCATACGCCGGCGTTTGACGCAGAAGTATAAATCAGGCTTTAAACAGTCACTAAATGCACTACAGAATGTTACGTTTTCAAACAAACACACAGATTCGATGTAAACACATCACACTGTAATACTCACTACTCCTGAGGGCTACTTTTACTCATACTCATTACTGAGTAATATTTATAACAGATACTTTTACTTGCACTACATTTTTGGGCAAGTAATGGCACTTTTACTAGAGTATGATTTTTCTTGTGTACTCTTTCCACCACTGATAGACACACACGCACACACACACACACACACACATATATATATATATATAATGCTCAATTGCTATGGCATCATCTCTCTCAAAACAGATGAAAAAATACTAACAGCATTGCTTTTGACTTAAATTGTGTGAAATAACTACATTTGAGTCTTTAAATCTGATAATGGCCCATATCATGTGGTCAGTCGTTCACACCATAACAGATGCTGGAATATTCTCCAGAATTGTAATTCTTCCTAGTTTTAATCATAATATTTTTAGTTTGAAAGATCAGTTAAAGTCTGTAACAGCAGTGCTTCTCCATGACGAGGCTCCGTCAGTCAGAACGAGGACCTGGAATATGAAGGATTATTAATAATCATGTTACATATTCAGTGTTTCAATATAATATATATCTTGTAAAGTATAAAGTTAGCGTAATAATAATAAAACAAAAACTTACCATCAGTAAATTGCTACTAGATTCTTCTCTATCGAAATAAAACAGAGTAGTTAATGGAAAAGTAAAACACAGGCCACTGTATTGAGTTTGTTCAGTAGCTGTTGTGCTGACAATACACAGGCCAACGTTTTAAATGATGTTGCTGGGCAACTTTGAGAAATGATGTCATCAATCACCAATCAGGTGAGGTAATGACAACTAATTAGTACAATGGGATTCAGATCTAACTTGATTATCAAGATGGCCAGTCATCTGCTGTGTGTACGACTATTGTTTATCCATTGTTTAGGGTTATTTTTTTTAAACTGTCAAGTCAACGCAACATAATTCAGTTCTGTGTACAGCACACTGTTGGAAATAACCCTGCTGAAAATAACAACTTAGGCTGGTTTTAGAGGGGTTTTGGCCTTCCAGGCTGGTTTCCAGCCATTTCCAGCTTGGTCTTAGCTGGTCAGGCTGGGGAAGACGAGCTAAAGCCAGCTTGACAAGCCTAGCCAAGCTGGGAGCCCAGCCAAAACCAGCTATTTCCATGATGGTCATTCCAGGATTTAGCTGGTCATTTTCCAGCCTGACCAGCTAAGACCAGGCTTGAAATGGTTGGAAACCAGCCTGGAAGGCCAAAACCCCTCTAAAACCAGGCTGGTCGACCAGCTAAAACCAGGAAACCAGCTTAGGCTTATGAAGGTAATTGTAATTATTCTGTGTTTGTCTGAGGTAATTAGTCTACTGAAATGTGTATATTCCATTCAAAGTATGAAGCGTATCGGTCAGTTCTTGTCTTAAAAGCTGACATGTTTTTATCTGGGAGCGCCTGGAAAACGTGAGTGCATCTCCAGCAGTTGATCTTCTTGCACAGACATGCTGGATTCACCTGATTTGTTGACAAATGGGTTGTGGATCTATTCCCTGGCAGTGGAGCCAGCGGAGCAAATATAGCCCGGCAACATTGCTCTAAAGGTTGCCCTGTGTGTCATCAGCATTATAGGTGAGTATCTCCACTTTGTCTCATATCTCCAGACCTGTTTTAGTCTTGTAGTAAATGTATCCAGCGGTGGCAATGATGATTCCCAGCACCGCGGAGGCATCTCCGGCAGCAGATAACAGCTGAAAATCCCACTCAAACTCATGGACAGGGGGCTCTGTGGGGGACACATGGCACTCATTATCACTGTATTCACTGTAAACAGGGGCGTCTGAGCAAAGAGAGGATACAGGGGACCACCCCACACCAACATCAACTTTAATGTTTAACCTTGGATTTTGGTGTAATACAAAATAATTCGCCAATTTAGCAATGAGTTGAATGTCAAAGTGTTGTGACTCACTCCAGTCAATGACTACAGGTCCGGTCAAGCTGGAGTGCTCCACCATACAGGAGATGGTCTCTCCAGATTTGGGGCTGAACACCAGCTCAGAGTGACTCTGGTAGTACCAGTCTCCATTGGGCATCTGCTCGCTGGAGGTCACGTCTGACACCACTCTTCCATCTCTCAGCCAGGACATTTTGATTTGCTGAGGGTAGAAGTCATAGGCACTGCACCTCAGCAGATACGGGTGTCTGCTATCGCCCTTCTGCACCAAACTCAGGTTCACCTTCGGCATCACTGAACCAACAAACACCACAGTCAACATCTGAGCAAACATTATTATGATAACGCTTTACATTGGTGTTCATGAGACTTCTTTATAATCATGATGTGGCATACAATCCTAAATCAGAAAACCTTGGGACAGTATGAAAAACTTTCCTGTCGTTCAGACTAGCAACACATTCCAAAACAGCTGTGACAGGAGCAGTTTAGGGCAGTAACCGGGTCAACTGGTGAATGATGATGTGATGTGAAACAGGTGATGTCAACAGGTGATTGTCATTATCATTTGGTATAAAAGCAGCATCCATAAAAGGTCTGGTCCTTAAGGAGCAAAGATGGGTCGAGGATCTCCAGTTTACCTATAAACATGTTGGGAAATTACTGAAATGATGAAAAACAATGTTCCTCAGAGAAAGAGAGGCAGACATTTGGATATTTCACCTTTAGCAATGCATAAGCTAATTAAAAGATTTAAAGAATCTGGTGAAATTTCAGTGCTTAATGGACAAGAGCGCAAGCCTAAGCTGAACAACCGTGATCTCGTGATTCCCCAGGCGGCGCTGCATCGGGAATCCTCATTCATCGATAACCCATATCACCACACGGGCTCAGGGTTACTGCGGTAAACCTTTTAGTTACATCCACCAATGCCAGTGAAAACTGTAGTGTGCCCAAAGGAAGCCCTATGTTAACAGTGTCCAGAATCATCGTCGATATCTCTGGGTTCGGAGGCATCTTGGATGGACCATCACATAGTGGTAAATACATTACTCTTCCAACTTTTTTGAAATGTGTTGCATGAACCAAAATTGGGATACATGTTTATTTTGAAAATAAAAATCACAAGGAACACATTAAATAATGTCTGTCGTATTGTCTGCTATGAAATACAAGTCAACGTAATTTAGAAATCAATTCTTTTTTTATTTGCGTCTTCCATACTGTCCCAACTTTTTCTCGATTTGCTGTTGTTATAAATGTAAAGGACATTTCATGCATGCTTGTGACAACAGTCAATAACTGTTATTCTCTCAGTCGTCAATTTAAATGCAAAGATGACACTGACCCAGCAGTTTAGTCTGATTTACAGCAGGACCCAGCATTTTTTAGTGCGTTCAAGACTTGGATTATCAGTTTTTCTTTTTTTGTTGTTATTTTTAATTGTACTTTCAATAACTTTATTTAAAATTTAACTAATTAGGTTGTGAGAATTGTTGTTGTTTTTTCCTCTACAAATGATATTTAGTCATTTATTATTATTAAAGTCTTTGACTTGGGTTGACAAATCATTATTTAAATTATAGGCTAATTGAGAAGAATATCAATTGCCTTCAAACAACTTTATCACTGTGTCCTAAACAGATACGACATGAAGACATGCGATTACAAATATATTCTCCGCTTTGTCTGCCCGGTGCTTATTATACAGTACAACATGGATAATTCAGCTTTTTAGGCAGGGAATTGGGCTCACAGTGGGAATCCTGTCTTTGTTATGACAACCTGCAATAACATCCAGCTGCAGGTCCGTAGAACCACACACATTTCAGGCACACACGATCTAGGCAAACTATATATGGTTACAACGAATGTTAATGTCATCGTCATCAATATTTTTTTATATTGTTAATCAATAGCGTAATAAACAATAGTGTATACTATTTCACAAATATGGCGATCATAAGCAACAAGCGAATGGGGTACTATTGTTTCCGATCGCCATTGATTATAATAGACTGGTGATTATTAGGCATTATTATTATCAGCTAGTGTGTGGTGTGCTGTGGTGTCATCCATCCCCACACTGGTAGTGAATGAGGAGATTCCCCTGAAAATGTGTAAAAAGCTTTGAGTGTCCAGAAAAGCGCTATATAAATGTAAAAAATTATTATTAAACAAACTGTCACGAATCTTTTTATAAACATAATGAGGCCATTATAACTGTGTCATGAATTTTATCGTTTTAATTGACCTCAACTGCAGTGCTTCAAATTGAATTCGTCATCACGTCATTTTAATGAAGACGTTATAAACTGTCTTAAACTATAAAATAATAAACTATAGACGTTATATTTGACAGAATACTGACATTTGACTAAAATATTTTAACCACAAACTCAGGTTGTTCCACTGAAAAAAAGTAAAATATTATTGATACCATTGTAATGGCCTCATGATGACAATCATGTTTATGACAGATTTATGACAACTTATGTTGCCTTGATAATGTCATAACAAAGACAACTCAAACAACGTCATCTTTCCATTATAAATGACAGAACTGAGCGAATGACACTTGGTGACTGTATACTATAAGCATGTATACAATCTCATTTATATTCATGACAGTTATAAATGTGTTATAACAGTCTTATGAACACCGTCTTGAGGTAAAGTGTTACCAAAATGTATTATTTCAGCCGTCATTTCTCTTGATCATAAATGTTTAAATCAATAGATCTGAGTGTTGTCCCACACACCTGCTTTATCAAAGACCGCTGATTCGTATATTTCAGCATTATGTCTGCAGAATATATCAACTTCAGCTCTCAACTGCTGTAAATAGGCTTCATTTTTGTTAAAGTTCTCTGCAAATTTAACTCCTTGCTCAGTATAACCTACAAAAATCCCCACAGTGCTGTTGAACTGAAGAAACATCCATTTATTGAAGTTAAAGCTGAGAATGAACACCATGTCACTCAAATCAGGATAGCTGTAGATGCACTGTGACCACGTGGAGAAATAATATCCATCTGCTGAAAAATAACATCTTCATTAGTATATTTAGACAATAAAAACACATCAGCAAGCTTCTGTTAGTCATATACACTCACCGGCCACTTTATTAGGCACACCTGTCCAACTGCTTGCTAACGCAAATTTCTAATCAGCCAATCACATGGCAGCAGCTCACTGCATTTAGGCATGTAGACATGGTCAAGACGATCTGCTGCAGTTCAAAGCGAGCATCAGAATGGGGAAGAAAGGGGATTTAAGGTACTTTGAACGTGGCATGGTTGCTGCTGCTAGTCAGGCTGCTCTGAGTATTTCAGAAACTGCTGATCTACTGGCATTTTCACGCACAACCATCTCTAGGGTTTACAGAGAATGGTCCGACAAAGAGGAAATATCCAGTGAGCGGCAGTTCTGTGGGTGCAGATGCCTTGTTGATGAGGTCAGAGGAGAATGGCCAGACTGGTTCCAGCTGATAGAAAGGCAACAGTAACTCAAATAAGCACTCGTTACAACCGAGCTCTGCAGAAGAGCATCTCTGAACACACAACACGTCCAACCTTGAGGCGGATGGGCTACAGCAGCAGAAGAGCACACCGGGTGCCGCTCCTGTCAGCTAAGAACAGGAAACTGAGGCTACAATTTGTCATGTTATAAAGCCTGAATCATCTCAGACTGGTTTCCTGAACATGACGATGAGTTCACTGTACTCAAATGGCCTCCACAGTCACCAGAGCTCAATCCAATAGAGCAGCTTTGGGATGTGGTGGAACGGGAGATTGGCATCATGGATGTGCAGCCGACAAATCTGCAGCAACTGTGTGATGCTATCATGTCAATATGGAGCAAAATCTCTGAGGAATATTTCCAGCTTGTTGAATCTACGCCATGAAAAATCAAGGCAGTTCCACACAGTCCAACCTGGTACTAGTAAGGTGTACCTAATAAAGTGGCCGGTGAGTGTACACCTACTTACTTACATTTTTTGACTTGTTTCTAGTCAAAATATCCAGCAATTCTGAAATCATGAAGTATTATATAGACAAGCAAAACTTGTTTTAGGAAATAATGAGTGAAAATGAAGCGAGTTTTTCCTTAAAACAAGCCAACGAGAATAATCTGATGTCCAAAGGAAAATCTAGATTATTCTTCTGACCACATTGGCAGATTATTTTGCTTGTTTTATGGGAAAAACTCACTTAATTTTGACTCATTATTTCTTAAAACAAGACAAGATGTTGTGCATGTCTAGAATATGCCTCTATAGATTTAAGAGTGTTTAGATATTTGGACTAGAAACAAGTCAAAGTTTGTAGTGTATTTTACTACATTCGATGGTACAGAGAAATCATAACAACAATGATAAAGAAAACATGCTCACACTTTATTTTGAAGAACAATTCTCACTATTTACTTTCACTTTTAGCTCATTATGAGCTCATTATTTGCTTATGAATAGTTATTAAAGCATTAGATTAGGATTAGGTATTGTGTAGGATTAGAGATCATGCAGAATATGAGCTTTATGAGCGCTAATAAACAGCCAGTCTTCATAATAGGTAGACATAAAGTAATAGTGAAAATCGGTACTTAAACTAAAGTGTTACCGAAAACATTTAAAGTCTTAGCAGTTCCCAAATAAAATAAAACACATTAATAGTTCATCAGTATAACTACAGCTACTAATGTCCTCAGAAACTCTAAGTTTTCTCACCTGCTCCTGTGAACACAGACAGCATTAATAGGAGGTTTGCTGGTGACATTGTCTCTCTCTCTCTCCTCAAAACACAACTGAACAGACAAAAACACTGAGCTTTCTAATGTCACGGTCTGAAAACATCCAGCCAATCAGAGAGCTGCTCTACATGAGTCGACTGTCGCTAAGCAGATTTCTGCGTTCATTTTTAAATCATATGCAAAACCTGGTTTAACAGATTAAACATGACGACCTTTAAACTTACATTCCTGAGGAAAAACCCAACACATTCTTATTGTGAATACATGGCCCTGTATACTTTTCTAGACAGTGCAAATTATGTAGGCAGAGGTATGTGTGGCTGCATTTTGTCTTTAAAAGGAATGCTATGGGGTGATATGATGCAATCTTTTCACGCTAACAGCTGACTGCTTACCGCCGTGTGGACGGCTTGTGATGCCGGGGTTTGAGTCCAGTGAAGAATGGTTCCAGCAGCTAAAACAGTTCAAGCAGGTAAATAAGAGGCAAACAATAAAATAAACAAGTAAATGACGGTGAGGATATTGTAAGAATCGAAAACGGGGTAAAAATCAGGCGGCCACGAGGACTTTCCTTTCTCTGAATTGCTTTTCAAGACATTGTCCACTAGGTTTAGAGATGGGGTTAGACACGGGTCAATCAGTGCATTTTAAAACACTATTAGTTGGGTTTATGGAAGGGGATGGGTGGGTCAACCGGTGCTTTCACAACAATATCGGTTGGGCTTATGGAAGGGGGTGGGTGGGTCAACCGGTGCTTTTAAAACACTATCGGTTGGGTTTATGGAAGGGGATGGGTGGGTTAACCGGTGCTTTTACAACAATATCGGTTGGGTTTATGGAAGGGGGTGGGCACGGATCAATTGGTGCTTTTGAAAACACTTTTGGTTGGGTTTATGGAAGGGGTAGGCACGGGTCAACCTGTGCTTTTGAAAACACTGTCGGTTGGGTTTATGGAAGGGGGTGGGTGGGTCAACCGGTGCTTTTAAAACACTATCAGTTGGGTTAATGGAAGGGGGTGGGCACGGATCAATTGGTGCTTTTGAAAACACTATTGGTTGGGTTTATGGAAGGGGGTAGGCACGGGTCAACCTGTGCTTTTGAAAACACTGTTGGTTGGGTTTATGGAAGGGGTGAGCGCGGGTCAATTTGTGCTTTTGAAAACGCTATCGCTTGGGTTTAGGGAAGTGGATAGGTGGGGTTATCGGTCAATCAATCAGTCAGTTGACAGCGGCCTCTGGTGGATTTATGTGAGAACAGCAGGCATGAATGACACTCGCAAGACAAATTTGAAATCTGAAAAAGCATACACAGCGCCCTCTGGTGGATTCACAAAAACTGCAAAAAACGTAGCTCCTGAGATGTATTTGGTGCTCTCCGGAAATGTATGCAGGGGTGCATATCAATAATGTGCCTGGGTTGGAAAAACCTTTAATAAGCACTCCACGCTGTAAAATAAAAACAAACTAATAACTATGGTAAAAATGTGGCAGCCGTCACAAATATAATAGAAAAGGTCAAAGAAAGTTCATATTTTTACAATAAAATTCTGTATTTATTGATAAAGCTTTTATTTTTTCAATAAATTACCAATATTATTTCTTTATAGAGTCCTACACCAATGTTTTAAAGTTCTAAAATCATACCTCTGTAAAGATATGATGGAAACTATATAAAATACATTTAAAATTTTACAGTAAACTACTGTATATCATTAAATTATAGTGTCATACGTCAATATTATAAAGTATTAACATCATACCTTTACAAAAATATGACTTAAAGCATAAAATAAATGTAAACCTTTTACAGTAAACTACCGTATATCAATAATTCACGGTAAGACTTTATTTTGATGGTCCATTTGAGTATTAGTACACTGTCTGCTCCTTCAACAGACATTTAACTGACTATGAGAAACTTAGCAAGCACATGTCAACTTACACTAACCCCAACCGGGCAGTCTACTTATAATCTAATGAGTATTAGTTGCAATGTAACTTAAATTCAACAAACGGACCATCAAAATAAAACCTGACCTCTAATTTATAGTTAAACTGTCATAACACCAATGATTTAAAGTGCTAACATCCTTTATAACAAGTATGATAGAAAGTGCAAAAGAAAAAGAGTTACAGTAAACTACCAATTATCATTCATTTACAGTGTGATACACCAATGTTTTGAAGTATAAACATCTACACGTTATGCCTTTGTTACACAGACAAAAGCACAACCACAAGCCTGTGAGGATGTGAAAGTGAAAAGATGAACTGAAGCTCATCGAAAACAACCTTTCCCACAGTACAGTGAAACACATCATATAATAACATACAGAATATTTAAGAGGAGCTCAGTGTAATTTACATGAAACATTACCAAACTTACAATTAAAGTAATGCGATAAACATCATTTATTAACATTAAATATAGCAGAAAAACTCTACAAATAAAAAAAAACTACAAATAACCACAGTAAAGTCGACAAAACATGCAGGGAATTGTTAATTTAACGTATAATTTAAGAAAACTTACTGCTAACAGATTTGTACAGCTGTTTTTACTATTAAATCATGCCATTTTTTAGTTTTGGAGGACTTTTTTTATTAAAGTTCAGCAAAAGTAGCATGTAATAATACATACACACTCAGAAATAAAGGTACACGGGCTGTCACTGGCGTGGTTCCTTTTCAAAAGGTACCTAAAGAGTCCATATTAATATCTCAAGGGCACATATTTGTACCTAAAAAAGTACAAGAGTGTTCCTATTAACAATTGTAGGTACTAATATATACTATTAAGATACCAATGTGGACCCTTTAAGTACAAATGTGTACCTTTTGAAAAGGACAGCCTGTGTACCTTTATTTTTGAGAGTGTACAGAGGCATTTCTAATGTTGGTTAAGTCCAGAAAGAGCCTTTTATTAATACTTAAGTTCAATATTGCATCAAATACACTGATTAAACCATCTGATTGACCACAGTATTTAGCTGTTTATTCATTTCAGAGCAGAATCAGAACAGAAACTGTGCTGAATGTCAGTATCAGGGCTGTTTACATGTACAGTGTGCATTCCTCTACATTTGATCACCTCACTAGTGCACATTTCCTTATTCTTTAGCACAGATAACATCATTCTCTGCTGTCTGTGATACAGGGAAGTGGTTTTCCATAAAAGATTGCATCTTCATATTTTTACTGTAAAGACTGCTGGCTTCAGTTGTTTTTGGCGTTATAGAAATGCTGTTATAGCAGGTCTGGCGTGTTTATGACCACCATTATGGCCGTCAGTTTTTATCAATACAGTCTTTCAACCATTTCCAAGCAAAATGCAAAAGTATTTAAACATATCTATTACAAAATACACAGGGTAATTAATGCTATCTTTTTAAGGGAATTTAACTATTGGTGGGGATATTTCAGTAGTCAGTGGATGTTGGTGGGGACACGTCCCCTTCATCCAAATCCATTCCCCTGATTTACTATAAACAAACAGTGAAAATACGTTTACTACAGTATTTATTAATGTTTGCTAATGTGAAGTTGCTCGCTGTTAGTTCTCAGTGCATTGACTAATGTTAACAAGCATGACTTTGGATGTTAATAAGGCGTTAGTAAATGATGAACTGCTGTTCAAGACTGATCATCATCCAATTTATCATCATTTTAGAGTGTGACTAGATATATAAATGACAAATCAGTGGTAAAATATCTGCTTTATATCATTGTAAAGTGCTTTCCAGTTAGAAGTGCAAAGCAATACACACATATTTCAGTAAAACTGGACGTAGATATTTAGATATTTATTGGAAATATGGAAAAATAAGACACACAACACGTCCAACCTTGAAGCGGATGGGCTACAGCAGCAGAAGAGCACACCGGGTGCCGCTCCTGTCAGCTAAGAACAGGAAACTGAGGCTACAATTTGATTTGTTTCTAATTCAGTTGTTAGCATCATACGTTTCTGTTTTTCTACACATTTCAGTTACGGTTTGTTTGTTTGTTTTGCTATTGTCATGGTTGTGTAGACCTGGATGTTAATGGATCCACCTGCTTCGAATGCTATCACTTTATTGAACGGACGTTATCAGCTGATAGATATGGGCCAGTAGGGGCCTACTTGTAGGCTTAGAAGGCTGTTATCATCCATCCATATGGTTAATGAGCAACACTAATAGAGAAAGCAGATCTGTTTTTACATTACTTTGAGGGTTGGGGTAGGGGTAGACGTTAATAAAATACAATTAATGGGACATTTAATACATAACATAAATAATTCTCGTTAACTTCCGGCCACACACCCCTGTGGATGGATGATTACAGCCTTCTGAGCCTACTAGTAGGCCCCTGCTGATCCATATTTACACCCATTCAGACAGATAGTTACACCCGCCAGATTTTAGCCTGAACCCGGCCCCTCCCGCTTGTATTCCGCATCTGTTGTCCCGTTGCCTGACCCGCCTTGTTTTCAACCCCGCCGCAGTTGTTCCCATTAACGAGGGGAGGGGGGGGGGGGGGTGTACAAAACTGAAAACCACCTAGCTATACAGAGTCTATAACAAGCTGTCTGTATAAACACACACACACACACAGACAGCCTCATGCTCCCTCTCATTCCCACACACACACACACACACACACACACATAGACAGCAACAAACAATACAAACAACAATCAGCGATATTGTTAGACCGCCCGCTCCCATCCAAAATTACACCAGTTAGCGTCCGCTTCCGCACTTTATTCGGAAATTTATTCCTGTGCTGCAAGAAATCTGGTCGGGTCCCATGGTAATGCAGACCTCTATTTCAGTCAGCGTGGTCTGCTTTCAATTAGATCGTGGTTGAGGTTAGCTATATTAAATCCAGCCTGATCTCACGAGGAAACGTGAGTATTTTACGTTTTGTCAGTTTAGTGGCTAATTTGTACGAATTCGATTTTAATTCGAACATGATTTTAAAAAGGAGGCGTGGCACCCAACCCCACCCCTAACCGCCATTGGGAGTTGAGCAAATCATACTAAATTGCACGAATTAGATCATACGAATTATCCACTAAATCAAAAAGTGATGAATTGCCGTCAGATTGCGTTGATTAAATCAGTAATGCTGTTAAATAGTTGGTTTTACTGCTAAGATGTTCAGTGTATTATGATGCAGGTCTTACAATTTCTCATGCAGAAACGTTTATCTCTCTACAATGTTCAGAGTATTGCTAGTTTTCACTGTAAAAACTTTGCTATTGAGATGTTCAGTGTATTTTGATGCAAGAAATGTCATTAAAGCTGATTTTATTCATTATGAAAATAAACGTTTTGAAGTTATATGAACTGACACCTGTGGTTTTTACTACGCTGTAAAAAGTGATTAGTTACGTAACGCAAGTAAACCAATTGCCTTAAACGCAACAAGTTGACCACAAAGATAAAGTAAACCCATTGTAACTTAAGTTGACTTCAATTTTATTATTATGCTTTTTGATAACACATTTTTTTAAACTCAACTAATCCTTTTTTACAGCGTCAGACTGTTTTAACACGTCTGTTTTTAAATTATTACTGTAGTTATTGCAACATATACGGTGCTTCATTAAGTCCATCTACAATTATAACATGTATTGAATTTAGAAGACACAGTGAGTCTGGAAGAGCGGATTTATTTTAGTTACTGTCATTTTGCTAGATACAGATAAGCTGGGGAAAAAAGTAATTCGTTTACTTTTTTTAAGTGAATACAATTTGCATAATTATAAAAAATTAAGTCCCATTAACAGTTCCAAATTACAATGGGTTTACTCACATTATTTGTGTAAAGTCAACTTGTTGCTTTTAAGGCACTCTGTTTACTTGCTTTAAGCAACTAAACGCTTTTTACAGTGTAGTTCCCATGTTGCCATACAATTTAATTATGCATAATCAAGACTGTAGGTTAAGTACACTTTACTAGCATCGTTCCTCAGAGTACCGTTTCAGGTGAGGTAACTTTACTGACCTAAGTAAATGTGACTCAATATGAGCAAGAATGACTTTTTCTATATTAGTAAATACTAACGCGATAGCGTTGCGATTGCTTAATTGAATTATGCAAACTCGTTGAATTCAAGCAAGTAAACGAACAAATGACTTTTTACAGTGTACTTGTAAAAGATTGAAGTTCCACAATGTGTGCAGTTTATGACTTCTTTAGATTAAGCTTGATGAATTGCAGATGTAATGTTTAAAGCTGAAAATCGTTTAGATTTGATCATGGATAGTGTAAACAGCAAGCAGCGATATATGTCATAATCTTCAAGCTGAATGTTTGGTTTATTATGATAGAACAATATCTGGCTGATATATAACTATTCAAATCTGGACGTCCATAAACATGAAAATACCGAAGAGCAAAATATAGCAGCCTGATCTCACGAGGAAACGGAAGAATTTTACGTTTTGCCAGTTTAGTGGCTAATTCGTACACATTCAGTCGTATGAAATTGTACGATTTTAAAAAGGAGGCGTGGCACCCAACCCCACCCCTAAACCCAACCGTCATTGGGGCATGAGCAAATCGTACTAAATTGTACGAATTAGATCATACGAATTAGCCACTGAATCAAAAAGTGACGAATTGCTGTAAGATTGTGTTAAAAATACGCATTTATCCTTATTAAAATGTACATTTTAATATGTTTACAGTAGAACATTTACAGAACGTCTCCATGACATTTCATTTAATGATTTCTGGTATTAAAGAAAAATCAGTCATTTTTATTCAACATAAAACAAATCAGTCCCACTTTATATGAAGTGGCCTTAACTACTACACACTTCAAGTTTACACTTAGCTGATGATTGATAGTAAAGCTAGTTTGGCGTGCTGTCCTGGGAGAGAGCCCTGAGCTTATAAGATCCTCGAGCCCTGGGCTCCCTCCCGTTGCAAGGCGAGAGGGGAGTTTGAGCTCAGGTAGATCTCGAGGACTCCCCCTCTTGCTTGTTGTAGCTAAGTGTCAGATATGGATGCTGAAAGGTGTACTCAGAGTTTAGCTAAAGTATTTGGATTAATTGTTTAGGGTGCTTGTTTTTGAACTGTGGGAGGAAACAGAAGGACCCGGGGAAAACCCATGCGACCACGGGGAGAACGAGCAAACTCTGCACAGAAATGCCATCTGGTTTGGAAAGGAATTAAACCAGGGGCATTCTTGCTGTGAGGCAACAGCGCTAATCGCTGGCCACCGTGACGCCCGTTTGAAAGGAGGGAAAGTAGGGTTGGGTGGGGGGGTTTCTTCAAGACGAAGCTATTGAGATAAGAAAAGTCTGGTTATTTATAGTGAGTTAAGGATCGTCTGATAGGATAATCAGTCATTAGCTAAAGTTGGAACAGCCATGAACGATCATAAGCACGGGATCCTCTCGAAATTTGTTTATAAATAAACTTCACTTAAAACACCATAATGTATTGCAGAACACAATACTGGATACAGGAAGGGTCAGGTTTGGTGGAATGGGTAGGTTTAAGTGTGGGTTGAGATGTGCCGGTAGTCAAGAGTGTAAATAAAGATGTAACTACGTTACATGTATTTAATTAATCATAAGTACATGCACTTACACAATAAGTACATACTGTAGTAACAAATGATTCACTTGCATTTTGCTTAAGGCCACTTCATATAAAGTGTGAGCAACACATCAAGCATTAAAGCAGACCTTTGTGTTTCCGTAATTCATCCGTCATCTGAAACCACACACAGATGCAGGGTGTGTCAGTAATCAAACTCCCACTCAGAGTTTCTTTATTGGTAGAACTGCATTAGTTTCTTCTTGCTCACTGCCGTGTCGGAGACGTCAGCTGTAGATCCTTTAATAAAGAAATAGATCCCCGTGGCCAGTCCCAGCAGTCCCACTGTAAATCCCAGTCCAGAGAGCAGAACCGGAGTCAGGCAGGGGCTCAGGACGCCCCCCTGCGGCACAACTGAGGAAAGATGGAGGACAGATGTTTATTAAGAGAGAAAATGCATGTTTATCACCAGGGCCAGACTCAACACGTGCAAGCTTTTGCTCTATTTATGTGCAGAATTTTGTAATAAATAAATTGGTAATCTGTATCGATAGTATAGAAGCTGGAAACCTAACATGTAATATATATATATAAGTACAGAAATTGTGTTTAGAAATATACAGGAGGGCTAACAATTGTACATCATTCACACAAAAAAACCTAAATGTCTATATTTTCATTGGTTCTATCTGTAATCCTCTTCTCACCCCATAGTTTGGTCTGCGGTTGTTCCTGGAGGGCTGCGTGGTTGACCGTGCAGCCGTAAATGTCTCCCGCTGCAGGACGGATCTTCAGGCTGGAGAACATGTGGAAGGTTTGATCGCTCCTGGGCCGGTACTGGCTCACATCCACTCCTTCGGTCACCTTCACATTATTCCTGCTCCACGAGACGTCCACTGGCGGAGGGAAAAACCCGGTCACGTGGCAGATGAGCACATTATCCACACCCAGCAGCACTTCATTCCTGGGGTAGATGGAGGTCTCTGGAGGCTCTGTCAACACGGAGAACATTTACTTCCAAACAGTGTCATGTAAACGTTAAAGAAACAGTTCACACAAAAGGGATCACTAGCTGTGTTTGCATTCAAAGATGCTAATTAGATTCATGCGCACAACTGTAATATTGCATAAAAGCAGCGTCAATACAGTTTTTTACATTTAATGAGAAACAAACGAGGACTAAATCAACACTTCTTGATGAACTGTCACAGAACCAACCCAAGCTCATTCTGGAAATGTACGACGTTGGACGACGACCGGGATCGAGTCCGGGGAACAGCAGGTTCCGAAAATCAGGTAAGACGAAAAACGGAATCCGAAAAATAAGGGCGAGAACGCGGCAGGATCCGAAAACGCGGCCGAAATCAAAGACGAGGGCTTTTGCTTTTTTTTTCTGGACGGCTTTTGTGAACCGTCGCTCTGGTATAGGGAAGGAGGAGAAAGAGGAGGGCGGCCAAATCGGCGGCTATTCGCGCGAGAACGGCGCGGGCGCAAATGGCGCGCACTCCAGAGAGGCGCCCGAGACGCGAAAAAGCGCGCACAGCGGCCTCTCACGGATCCGCGAAAACAAAAAACGCTCGAATACCTACCTCCAGGGACATAAATCGCGGTCCGCAGAAACGTTTGCGGGGCTACGTTTCCACAATGAGCCCGGGTTGCACAGAACTGTTGTTTAATGTGCCACTCTGGCGTTTGTTCTCTAACAAATGAGCTGCGCCTCAGAAGACGAAATGCAATGAACGCGGTGAATGTGGTGGCTTCTGGAGGCATGAGACGGGAGCGCAGACAGATGCTCAAGAACAATAATAATAGACGAAGACTAATAGTGAAGCACTGATGACGGACTGACAGAAGGCTGAGGCTTTTTACAATAAGCACAACAACATTTCACATCTGCAACAGTTGAACGCTGGAAACACGGAGAGCTGCAGATCAACAATAATGACGCGAAGACCCTCACACACATAAAGTCAAGCAAAGTCATTAATTGACAGGGGTATGATGATCTTCCATAGAATCGTTATTGACTTGAGTTTCTTCTGTTGAACACAGAAGATGTTTTGAAGAAAGCTGATGGCACTGACTGACTTCTATTGTCATTTTTTCCTAGCATGTAAGTCAATATGCATAAGCTAAATTAATTTACTATTGAAACTAGATCAGATCTTATTTAGATATGAGAGTCATGTTATTGACTGTCCAGCCTGATCTCACGAGGAAACGTAAGTATTAAACGTTTTGTCAGTTTAGTGGCTGATTTGTTCGAGTTCAGTCGTGCGAAAATGTACGATTTAAAAAAGGAGGCGTGGCAGCTAACCCCACCCCTTAACCCAACTCTCATTGAGAGATGAGCAAATCGTACTAAATTGTACGAATTAGATCATACGAATTCATACGAATTAGCCACTGAATCAAAAAGTTACGAATTGCCTGTGTTGGACTGTCTGGGTCCAGGAAATCAATTGTCCTGTGTAAAAACCAGAGGGATGCTTTTGAATTTGCCTACTACTCGAGTAGGAACTACATTTGAATTTACTACATGGCGTTTAGAAAAGTATAGCTGTAAAGTATGAATGTGAACAGTGTGGATTTACATTTTTCCAGTGGTGTAAAGATGAAAAATCATACTCAAGTAAAAGTACCATTACTTGCCTAAAACGGTAGTGCGAGTGAAAGTATCTGTCGTGAATATTACTCAAAGTATGAGTCAAAAGTAGCCCTTTTGAAAGTACTCAAGATTAGTGAGTCGTTAATATTACAATGTAAAAACCTGTGGATGTGTGTAAACGTAATATTCTGTAGTGGATTAGATAGACCACCAGGAACACATCATCATAAGTTAATATTAGGTTAGATTTAGGTTGTGATGTCAGGTGACCCAAATTTAAGTCTAGCCAGCGTCCAACATTATTTTAATGTCCAATAATGACGTTGATATTTGGTTGATTTTAGGTTTTGTTAGAAAGTGACCAAAGTCCATCGTTGAGCCAACATCTTAAACCAACATCATATTGACAACAAATACTGACATTTATTCATCAGGTGACAACCAAAATCCAATGTCGGATATACGTCATAGTGGTAACGTCCACCCAACGTCAAGCTGTAACATCATTAGACGTTGATATTTGGTTGATTTTAGGTTGGGAATTGACGTCGGGTGGGCACTTCAGATCATGTTGAAAGGGGATGTGGTTACTTTACACAACTAAAATCAGCAACTGCACATGTTTAAGTTCAGTTTACTTCGATTATGACTTTAGTCCGATAAATGTAATCAAGCATTGCTGTTTGTATGGTGTAGATTTTAATCAGAGCATTGTATTCATCGCATTTAAATTGGAGCATAGGTGTCCATGTAAACATACTGACTGTTGAACCCGATTCTCATGATCTAGTTTTAGATCTTATTAGATATCTTATTTTCAACATGTTTTAACTTTGCCAATACAGCACTTCGGATCCAGCCAAAGTGTTGAAAGTGCTCTATTAACAAAAAGGGGAGTCAATGCGTGCCATCAACCAACATTCTTCAAAATTTCTTCTCAACAGAACAAACAAACTCATAAAGGTTTTAAACACACACACACACACACACACACAGATGACGTAATATTCTCTATTTGTGTGAACTATCGTTTTATGAAAAACTGTATACTTCACAATAAACACTCATGTCGTACCCATTTCCTCAGGAGGGCTGTTGTAAGCTTTAATAGAGGTGGCTAGGTTTTGTTTGCATACTTCTTGATCCGCAACACTCTCTTCATATGCTCCTGGGAAACTTAGAGGATCTGCAAACTCAGGCAACGTAGCTACTCCCTGCTTTAGTTTGAAGTCAGAATGCCACATCTCCTCTCCCTCAGATCCATACAGCGCCTCCTTTTCTGTGTCGGAGCATCCATTGAACATGAAAAGGTTGTGTTTGACTGAAATAAGAGACAGTGCATTAGGAAGATCCACAGGTTAGATTTTACTATGCACACAAGATCGAATTGTTGGTCATTAAATTAAAGCACAAGCATTGCAATGATTTAAAAGGGGAGTTCCTCGGGTTTCATGGTTCTAGACATGAGTTCTAACAAATGAAGATATTTTGAAGAATGCAGCTATTCACTTCCATGCTAAGAAAAAGACACTGTGGGTATTAATGTGTGCCAGCATCCAGCATTCTGCAAAATATCTTCTTTAGTGTTCAACAGAAGAAAGAAACTCAAGGTTTGGAACATGTAACGGATGAGTAAATGATGACTGAATGTTCAGTTCTGGGTGAACTGTGCTGTTGTATTATAATAGTATGCATTATCAGCGCTGTTCTGATGATTTTATGCATAATTTATAAGTTATATGACTGTTTAGAGGAGATGCTGTAGTGTCCCTGATGAAAAATCCAGCTTAAACCAGCCTAGGCTGGTTGGCTGGTTTTAGCTGGTTGACCAGCCTGGTTTTAGAGGGGTTTTGGCCATTTCCAGGCTGGTTTCCAGCCATTTCCAGCCTGGTCTTAGCTGGTCAGGCTGAAAAATGACCAGCTAAAACCAGCTTTACCAGCCTGGTTTAAGCTGGATATAGCTGGTTTTGGCTGGACTCCCAGCTTAGCTAGGCTGGTTTTAGCTGGTCATCTCACAGACTGACCAGCTAAGTCCAGCTTGGAAGTGACCAAAACCCCTCTAAAACCATCCTGGTCGACCAGCTAAAACCTAGGCTGGTTTAAGCTGGATTTTTCAGCAGTGGTACTACATTGTTTACTAGAGTAAACTGGTGTATTGAAGTATAATATAGCATAGAGTTGTAGAAAGCTATACAGCAGTGGGTCATTTGTTTATATGACTATAGTTGTTGACTATCGTCACCACAACAGATTAAATACTTCACTATAGTGTTGTTCAAAAACCCCTGTTTACTATAGATTACTACAGTATTTCTAGTACATATGAAAGCTTAATGGTGTAACACATCATACAGAGTTTTCCTATTACAAATCCTCAAATGAAGTTACCTCGAGCATGGGTTGAGAGGACAACAGTGAAGGCGAGTAGCAGCAGGTACAGCAGCTCCATCTTTGCAGGCGACGCTGGAACAAACAGAGGAACAAACTCGAAGCGAATGTGAGCAGACTGTAATTCTTCTGAGCTGGGTTTCAGTTTCGTCAGCTCATCCTCCACTCACAATCTGGCCTCGCCGTGAGCCTGCTGTTTCTGGGGAAAACCAGATCTTCCTGTTTCAGGAAGCTGTAGCTTAAAGGTGCAGTAGGTGATTGCCTCCGGAAACGTGTGTTGCTTAAAGTGTCTTCATATTCCAATAGTAATGATTAAAGTTAATGATCTAAATATATTTATATATATATTTTTATATTTTGGGAAAGGCATAAAATTAAAAAGTGTTCATCCAATTAAATAGAGTCAGGCTGACATCTCTCATAATTCCGATAAGTAGCTCAAACTGTCTGCGCTTCACTGTCTGAGCACTTAGGTTGTAATGTTAACTCACAGCTCTGATGTGAACGGCTGAACACACACACACACACACACACACACACACACACAATAATCAACACACTTGTGTTTTGAATTGGAAGTTGCATAATAATAGTTGTGTGCATAAAATGTCGTTCACAAATACAAAATGACAGACACACGGGTGCACGGCAAATTTGATAGCATCTTCGCTCGACAACCACAAGTCGGCACTCACAACCTCTCAGATTCGCCAGTTCAACTACGAATCTCTCGCACACTGACTTTTGCTATATAGTACTATATAGTTTACCATGCACCTCTGAACATTCGCTCTGAAATAGCATGTCAGTTTCGCCTAGTAATGAGCGCCCTGCTGAAAAATCCAGCTTAATCCAGCCTAGGTTGGTTGGCTGGTTTTAGCTGGTCAACTAGCCTGGTTTTAGAGGGGTTTTGGCCATTACCAGGCTGATTTCCAGCCGTTTCCAGCCTGGTTTTAGCTGGTCAGGCTGGAAAATGTCATAGCTGGTTTTGGCTGGGCTCCCAGCCAGGCTAGGCTGGTCAAGCTGGTTTTAGCTGGACATTTTCCAGCCTGAAGAGCTAAGACTAGGCTGGAAATGGCCAAAACCCCTCTAAAACCAGCCTGGTCAACCAGCCAATCATCCTAGGCTGGTTTGAGCTGGATTTTTGGCAGGGTGTAATTCCTGCACGCCTCCGCCAGACAAGCACTAGTCGCTTTTAACAGATGAGAGAGGGCTCTTTAGCTGTGCTCGTGTTTCAGGAGGCGTGGCTCTAGACGGTAGGGGAGGGACTGTGATTCAGAGATTTATGCTAAGCTGTTAGCATTGTGGAAGATCACCCATAGATATATATGTAACTGAGGCCAGCTAGTAGGTGCTGTGCAGGTAACCCTCACTCTGACCTCTAAGAGGTGGTCTAGCGACAGATGCTAGAGGCCATGGTCTTTAGCCTCCTTGGTAGAGCAACGACTCCCATGTGGAAGGTCGCTGGTTTGAAACCAGCTCAGAGCAGGTTGGGTGGTGTAGAGCCGGCGGGCTTACATATACACTAGATATCGCATAGGGACCCTGAACATGTGTCAATATCGCCGCCATATTTGTACAGTGCTCCCTGGACAAGTGTACTACAATCGCACTAGTCAAGACAGTGTTATTACGTGAAGATGCTGGACTTTAGCGCTGTCTACAGGTGTAGTGACGAGCAAACAAAGGCAGAACATTTCATAGGTAAGATTTAGTTCTTTACGTTTGTGTATGTTCTGAACTTTTGTGCTAATCAGGTAACGTTATTGATGATAACAGTCACTTACTGCATTCACCATACGGCAAAGCAGCTCCGACTCGCACTAAACACTCGGCTTATGCTAGTGTTGTTGAATAAAATCAGCAAACAATGCAAAAGAAATATGACAACGAGATGCTGCGCTGCCAGAAACTTGTATTATTGTCGGCTAGTGAAGGAGTCGCTCATAATGGAGATTCATTCACAAATGAATCGCTCCCTCCATCAGTATGAGGAGTGAAAGCAGGAAGAGGAGCTGTGTTTCAGGACATGATTAGATCAAATTTAACAGGGAGGGTGAATAGTACATTTCCATACACACTAACACAAGCTTTTTGTCAGGAATGCCCGTGCGGTCACTGATCCATCAATGTAGAAAAGTGATGTAAAATTATAAGTTTCGTAATATAAAAAAAATTGCATACTGACCTCCGGGAAATCTCCCGATCATAGATATACGTTTATATAGGTGTTTCTCTGGTTCTGGATGGCCACAGTCCTCCACTGAAGCTTGGTCCCGCATTCATTTTAAAGGAGCGCTACCCTGTACTAAAATGGCGGCTCGATTGATGCATTCCTTCTAATAGACAACAACAGGGTAGGCGACAGCTAATGTGTGTGTATATATATATATATATATATATATATATATATATATATATATATATATATGAAAGATGACCTACTGCACCTTTAAGATGTGTTCAGGTCTGGACAGATCGTCAGTTTACATGAGTCAATACACACGGTTTAGTGAATTGGTGAACATCTTTGTTGATTCGTTTTCATCTTCCCAGAGGAGTATTTCCTAGCTGTGGCAGAATCAGGGAACACACTAGCATTGAAATCAACACAAAAGCAAAACACTCAGCTTTAATGCGCTTTTTAAATAAATAAATAGCAGCTGCTCGCCATCGTGACTGCAGTAAGATCCAACGAACAGCCGATTGCTTTCACTCCAAGATGGCGGAATCCGGGGCTGTTTCTGGGCGCTGCTGTTGCAAAGGAACATTCTATTGAGTGTCGACTCTTGGTCATTCTAAGCTCTTTGTGGCTTCAAAACGTTTCACATTAAGTAAACAGTTCACCAAACTCACCGCTGATAAACTTCACTGCCAATCAGTTATTTCTGATGAGCACGTAAACACAGCAGCCAATCAGTGGGGTTTAAGAACGCGCTCAAATGTTTGGAGGAAAAGGATGTTTTTAAAATGTCTGTAGCGATTGGTGCCAAAATTTAGTATCAGGACCACCTTGGTCTGTGATGTTAAAAGTATTCAATTGTTAAGCCATTACGTAGTCCTTATTACTGAAGCGTTTAATGACTGACCACATGGGGTTTGTTTCATGTCTTAAAGCCCAGCAAAACTATTGAATAGTGCAGATATTTTTTTTAAAGCAGCTTCAGACTTGATAATTTCCTTTCGTTCCGAGAACATGATTACATATTAAATAAAAAAAATATATATATAAAATTCATTACCTAAATGACATGTCCTTAAACGCCTGTGTACAACATTCTAGAACCCAGTCACAAGAAATCTCATTTATTGATTCGTGTTCAGACAATTAGCTTCACTTTTTTTCCAGTTTCCTCAACATGACTATTAACCTATAGTTACAATAGGCAGTATCTTCCATTTCTAATAATACAGGCCAGACAGAATCTGCAGACATTTTAGCTGAGGATTTTATAAAAAATAAAATAACCCAAGACCTCATTTGCATTAAAGTATTTATTAAAAGTAAACCCCAATGTAGGGACATCAGCAAATTTGTCTGAATCCACAGCATCAGACTGGGCGGCCTGTAAGAGAAGCAAAACCAAAGCTTAAATGAAGTGTAACACAAGTTTACAGAGTATAACAACTGACCTTGAGGACTGCGTCCACTTTGAGCACTAAGTCCATTTTGAGCACTGCGTCCATCTTGAGCACTGCGTCCATTTTGAGCACTGAGTCCATCTTGAGCACTGAGTCCATCTTGAGCACTGCGTCCATCATGACCGCCCCGTCCATCTTGACCACTGCGTCCATCTTCACCACTACGTCCATCATGACCACCGCGTCCATCATGACCACCGTGTCCATCATGACCTTCTTTATCATGACCCCCACGTCCATCATGACCACCGTGCCCATCATGACCTCCGCGCCCATCCCATCCATCATGGCCTCTATGCCCATCATGGCCACCCCGTCCATCATGGCCACCCCGTCCATTGTGGCCCCCACGCCCATCATGGCCACCCCATCCATCGTGGCCCCCACGGCCATCATGGCCACCCCATCCATCGTGGCCCCCACGCCCATCATGGCCACCCCATCCATCGTAGCCCCCACGGCCATCATGGCCACCCCATCCATCGTGGCCCCCACGCCCATCGTGGCCACCCCATCCATCGTAGCCCCCACGCCCATCGTGGCCACCCCATCCATCGTGGCCACCCCATCCATCGTGGCCCCCACGCACATCATGGCCACCCCGCCCATCGTGGCCACCCCGTCCATCGTGGCCACCCCGTCCATCGTGGCCACCACGTCCATCGTGGCCACCACGTCCATCGTGGCCACCACGTCCATCGTGGCCACCACGTCCATCGTGGCCACCACGTCCATCGTGGCCACCACGTCCATCGTGGCCACCACGTCCATCGTGGCCACCACGTCCATCGTGGCCACCACGTCCATCGTAGCCACCACGTCCATCGTGGCCACCACGTCCATCGTGGCCCCCACGTCCATCGTGGCCACCCCGTCCATCGTGGCCCCCACGCCCATCATGGCTACCCCATCCATTGTGGCCCCCACGCCGATCGCGTCCACCACTTGCTGATGTCAGCAAGCTGGAGCTCAGAAGCGTCACTGAAAAACAGAAACAGAAGAGCCAATTACACCTGTGCACTGCCAACCACATGATTAACAGCACAAAACTTAATCAAAATGAAAACCTTTGACAACACAATAATAAAGCTAAACAATATCTTCACTGCACCAGTTCATCAACTCACAAGCAAGCAATAAGCCGAGCGAGCGCATGATTCTGCTGTGGTCCTCCAAGGTGCATGAAGTCTCTACTGACTCTACTGATATTTATAAGCCGCTGGTGTGAGTGGTAATGAGTGACACCTGTGCCCCACACCTGTATGAGGGTTTGTCTTAATCGCTGTTTTCCCTAAAGATTAGGCAAACACATGCATTAAAGACCCCATTTGTCTGATTATAATGAAATATGGGCTAGATTCCATCTTCTTCATTGTGTTCATTAAAATCAGATGTTTAATCTACACTGAAAAGTAGTAGTGGGCAAAGCGAGGCTTCATGAAACACTGAAACAGTCAAAGCAAATGTACCGAAGCTTCGAAACGTTTCGAAACCCCACTCTACAGTGACATCTAGTGGTCATATTTTAATGTATTGCACAGGAACAGCTTCAGCAAAAAAACAAACAAACAAAAAAAAAAGAACAGTTGAGCAAATTGAGTTATTAAACCCCGCTTTGTAGCATTGAACCTTCGAGTGATATAGTGGAGCGGTAATGTTTCCTGGCTAGCGTGCGAGGATAGTGGGTTCACATCCAAGCTGACACAGCTATTTTGAAATGCTTTAATACTAGTCAGTAATGCTTTGTTCTTGTCTCGTTTTGTTTCAACATTGGTCTGACATCCGAATAAACACTTTGTGAATAAATTTGTCTTGTTTTGGTCATAAAACAGGGTTGTCGCTAGATCAGACACAGTTGTGACCAGAAGTTAACAGGAATTATTTATATTATTCATTAATTTCCCATTGTATTTTATTAAGGTCTACCCAAAACCTAAACCCAACCATCACAGTACTGTAAAAATATTCATTATTGTTTTACAGTGTTACAAAAATGATGCTAAATTGATGGCGCATCCGCAGCTGTATCCTATCTAGACTACACCATAAAACAACACGATTAAAATACATATAATCAGGATTTCGGAGTATTTGTACAAGTCGGGATTCAAACCCAAAAGTCATTTACAGCACAGTAGCAACATGCACACACACGGTCCACTGGGCCATATTAGACAGAATATTCTGTAGACCCTGTTAGTCGAATGCAGATACTCCAGGTCTCGAAACGCTTCTGAAATGATTCGACACTTTAAATTGCCTTACATGACCAGATGTTTTGAAACACTTTAGTCACGTGACCTAGGTGTTTCAGATCATGCTTCGGTGCAGGGTTTCGAAAGACTTGCGCTTCGGGATCTCAACACTGTGTCGAAACGTCAGTTTCACGTCAGCCATCCCTACTGAAAAGTGAAACAAGCTGAATTTAAACAAACAAAATAAGTCGAACATTACTAAATTTCATTTGATCTCTCGATTCTCAAAGGATACCGAATGTGTGCATCTGCCCAATGGAAAGTGAAAGCAAGAGCGTGTTGTGGCAAGTTTAATGTATAGGACAAGTGCTTTTTAAATTAGAAGTGCATTGCAAACTGTCCAAATGAAATGAAATACCACAGGCATATCACTAAACAGCAGTGTCTCCTGTGAAGGGGACGATCACCCAGTGTGATCAGTAAACATGAGTGATGGTATTGCACAGTTTCAGAAGTGCGTTTCAGATTTATTCAAACATGTTCTTAGCTTTACTTCTCCCACACATTGATCTTTTAATGAGAAAAACTATTGCTGTATTTGTGATTACGCCCATTGTAACCGCCATGCCCTTTGTGACCACCCCATCCATCGTGGCCAGCTCTACCATCGTGTATTGTCAAAGGTTTTCATTTTGATTCAGTTTTGTGCTGCTAATAATGTGATCCCCAGTGCACACATGTCTTAATCTACTCTTCTGTCTTTGTTTTTCAGTGATGCTTCTGAGCTGTACTCCGATGTAGGATAGATGTGAAAGCAAGTTTGACAGTATTGTAGTTAAGTCTTGGTCTTTTGACTGACTGGCGGTTTTCGATCACTGCGACATCACCATGCAGCAGAGGGCTGGGCTGTAAATGTGTCACACTGCTTGAGTGCAGCCCCCCCCCAAAAAAAATGGCTACTGATAAACAAGAACAGTTTCATAAATATCTGCCAAATTGCCTTGTCCACGCACCACCGCGATGCACTTCATCATTGTTTTCTATTTGGCATGAAGAGACATTGGGTGCATTTGAGTTCATGCAGCACTGTACAGATCGATCAAAATTAATTGAAAAAAATCTGTTATTTCTGATGAGCACGTAAACACCGCAGCCAATTAAAGGGGATTAAAAACGCACTTAAATGTTTGGAGGAAAAGGATGTTTTTTTTAAATGTCAGTAGCAATTGGTGCCAAAATTTAGTATCGGGACCACCTTGGTCTGTTATGTTAAAAGTATTCAATTGTTAAGTCATTACGTAGTATTTATATATTTCTGAAGCATTTAATGACTGACCACGTGGTCTTTGTTTCACGTCTTAAAGCACAGAAAAACTATTGAATGGTTCAGATATTTATTTTTAATAGCGGCTGCAGACCTTGATCATTTACTTTCGTTCCGAGAACAAATTTAAAAAAAAAAAAAAAAAAAAAAAAAAATCATGACCTAAATGACATGTACATGAACGCCTCGGTGTAGAACATTGTTTTAGAACCCAGTCCCAAGAAATTTTATGTATTGGTTCGTGTTCAGACAATTAGTTTCCTTAACATGACTTTTAACCTATTGTTACAATAGGCAGTATCTTTTATATCTCATATTAGGGGCCAGACAGAATCTGTAGACATTAACTGAGAATTTTATAATAAAAAAAATAATAAAAAAAAAACCACACACACAACCTCATTTGCATTAAAGCATTTATTAAAAGTAAACGCCAATGTGGAGACACCAGCAAATTTGTCTGAATCCACAGCATCAGACTGGGCGGCCTGTAAGAGAAGCAAAACCAAAGCTTAATGTTGTAAACTGGTGTTACACTTCAACTACAGTTCAACCGAGTATAACAACTGACCTTGAGCACTGCGTCCACTTTGAGCACTGAGTCCATCTTGACCACTGCGTCCACTTTGACCACTGCGTCCACTTTGAGCACTGAGTCCATCTTGACCACTGCGTCCACTTTGACCACTGCGTCCACTTTGACCACTGCGTCCACTTTGACCACTGCGTCCACTTTGACCACTGCGTCCACTTTGACCACTGCGTCCATCTTGAGCACCGCGCCCATCATGGCCCCCACGCCCATCATGGCCCCCTCGTCCATCGTGGCCCCCCCCGTCCATCGTGGCCCCCTCGTCCATCGTGGCCCCCTCGTCCATCGTGGCCCCCTCGTCCATCGTGGCCCCCTCGTCCATCGTGGCCCCCTCGTCCATCGTGGCCCCCTCGTCCATCGTGGCCCCCTCGTCCATCGTGGCCCCCTCGTCCATCGTGGCCCCCTCGTCCATCGTGGCCCCCTCGTCCATCGTGGCCCCCTCGTCCATCGTGGCCCCCTCGTCCATCGTGGCCCCCTCGTCCATCGTGGCCCCCTCGTCCATCGTGGCCCCCTCGTCCATCATGGCCCCCTCGTCCATCATGGCCCCCCCATCCATCATGGCCCCCTCGTCCATCGTGGCCCCCACGCCCATCGTGGCCACCCCATCCATCGTGGCCACCCCATCCATCATGGCCCCCTCGTCCATCGTGGCCCCCTCGTCCATCGTGGCCCCCACGCCCATCGTGGCCACCCCATCCATCATGGCCCCCACGCCCATCATGGCTACCCCATCCATTGTGGCCCCCACGCCCATCATGGCTACCCCATCCATTGTGGCCCCCACGCCGATCGCGTCCACCACTTGCTGATGTCAGCAAGCTGGAGCTCAGAAGCGTCACTGAAAAACAGAAACAGAAGAGCCAATTACACCTGTGCACTGCCAACCACATGATTAACAGCACAAAACTTAATCAAAATGAAAACCTTTGACAACACAATAATAAAGCTAAACAATATCTTCACTGCACCAGTTCATCAACTCACAAGCAAGCAATAAGCCGAGCGAGCGCATGATTCTGCTGTGGTCCTCCAAGGTGCATGAAGTCTCTACTGACTCTACTGATATTTATAAGCCGCTGGTGTGAGTGGTAATGAGTGACACCTGTGCCCCACACCTGTATGAGGGTTTGTCTTAATCGCTGTTTTCCCTAAAGATTAGGCAAACACATGCATTAAAGACCCCATTTGTCTGATTATAATGAAATATGGGCTAGACTCCATCTTCTTCATTGTGTTCATTAAACTCAGATGTTTAATCTACACTGAAAAGTAGTAGTGGGCAAAGCGAGGCTTCATGAAACACTGAAACAGTCGAAGCAAATGTGTCGAAGCTTTAGACAGTTTCGAAACCCCACTCTACAGTGACATCTAGTGGTCATATTTTAATGTATTACACTGGAACAGCTTCAGCAAAGAACAGTTGAGCAAATTGAGTTATTAAACCCCGCTTTGTAGCATTGAACCTTCGAGTGATATAGAGGAGCGGTAATGTTTCCTGGCTAGCGTGCGAGGATAGTGGGTTCAAATCCAAGCTGACACAGCTATTTTGAAATGCTGTAATACTAGTCAGTAATGCTTTGTTCTTGTCTCGTTTTGTTTCAACATTGGTCTGACATCCGAATAAACACTTTGTGAATAAATTTGTCTTGTTGTGGTCATAAAACAGGGTTGTCGCTAGATCAGACACAGTTGTGACCAGAAGTTAACAGGAATTATTTACATTATTAATTAAATTTCCCATTGTATTTTATTAACGTCTACCTAAAACCTAAACCCAACCATCTTAGTACTGTAAAAATATTCA